GGATGCTGCTCTGCAATCATTCATTAAGACAAGCAAATCTGACCACAAGAATGCAGTCGTCTATCATCTAGCAAAAAAACATGGACTTGAATCTCACACGCCTCAGCCAAGAGCTAAAAAACAAGGTTTTGGTTCAATTGGGACAGTCTAGCGAGCCATGATGGATCCAAGTGACCACCGACCCGTTATCCTTCCACTACCAAGAGTGGGAGGTAGTCGTTGCTCTGTGAAGCCAGCCTTACGCGGTTCCCTCCGCTCTAGAAACCAAGTGACCCAGAGCCTTCGCTCGAGCCACAGGGTTCAACTCCTGGCTTGGAATGGGCGGACCAGTAGATAGCCAACCCGAACCCGAACCGCTAATACTGAGCCAATGTTCCAGCACCTCAAAGCCCCGACTAGGGTTACAAGCTTGCGTTACAAAACAAGGTTTTGGTTCAATTGGGACAGTCTAGCGAGCCATGATGGATCCAAGTGACCACCGACCCGTTATCCTTCCACTGCCAAGAGTGGGAGGTAGTCGTTGCTCTGTGAAGCCAGCCTTACGCGGTTCCCTCCGCTCTAGAAACCAAGTGACCCAGAGCCTTCGCTCGAGCCACAGGGTTCAACTCCTGGCTTGGAATGGGCGGACCAGTAGATAGCCAACCCGAACCCGAACCGCTAATACTGAGCCAATGTTCCAGCACCTCAGAGCCCCGACTAGGGTTACAAGCTTGCGTTACAAAACAAGGTTTTGGTTCAATTGGGACAGTCTAGCGAGCCATGATGGATACAAGTGACCACCGACCCGTTATCCTTCCACTGCCAAGAGTGGGAGGTAGTCGTTGCTCTGTGAAGCCAGCCTTATGCGATTCCCTCCGCTCTAGAAACCAAGTGACCCAGAGCCTTCTCTCGAGCCACAGGGTTCAACTCCTGGCTTGGAATGGGCGGACCAGTAGATAGCCAACCCGAACCCGAACCGCTAATACTGAGCCAATGTTCCAGCACCTCAGAGCCCCCACTAGGGTTACAAGCTTGCGTTACGAAGCTCGGCGGTACATATACCTCGTGCAGGGTTTATAAAGCGTAGTGTGTGATACGAACCAAGCGATGTGGGACAAGTTGCACTCGCTTTGCCTCTTAAGATCAGATCTTGAATAAGCTCAGAATTTCGTATATACTTTTAAGTGGCGATTTTCTCCCAAGACCTTGCTATTGGTAACACTGGTTGGTGAAAAATAGTAACATCAGTTCAAACATTGACATAAACAATTTTCTCCCAGGAAACAGTAAACACAGATTGAAGTAAACATAAACATGGCAGACTCAGATCTCACACCCTTCTGATTATAATGAAAATTATGCTGCTTTTCTTTCTGTTTGCTAATTAACCAGCAACTCACCCTTTTTCAACATTATAGAAACACAATGGATGGTGACATTTTAATGCAGAATATTGCATATTTGCATATCATGCCTCCTCCTTGGGAAACAATCATGTGAATGAAGGACCTGCAAAACAAGATGAATTAAACTAATCATATGCGTTGATCAGCATAATTGAGTTAAATGGTTTTTGCCTCTCTACGTATTTGTGTAAATAGGGACGTCAACGCCACTCGTGGTATCATATATTAATTATGATTGATTAAATGGTTGTAGCATTTTAATGTGCTAAATTAATCAATTCATGAGTTGGAATGATGGGGTGGGAAGGGACACTGCATAAACATTGCTTAGGGAACATATAGATGCAAATCGAAATCATGTTACCTCTCACTGATGATTGAAGTGGATGAGATTCCATGTCCCCCTCTTCAATCAACACTATATATTAACCACTCTGAATTGTACATCAATCAAAAGTTTCTAAGTCTTCTCTTCTATCTTCTCACAACACACAAAGAAGAAATGGCTTTCCACACTCGCTCTAACAGCTTCCCTTCAAGGCCACACCCGATCGTTCAAGAAGTTGACGAACATTTGTGTAGACTGAGGTCTTCGCCTCCACATCTTCATCATCAATATGCCACAAACTAAGTGGCCTCCAAGACTTGCATGATTGTGTTGATAAGTTGCTTCAGTTGCCTCTCACACAACAAGCCTTGGCCAAAGAGCAGAATGAGAAATGGACTAATGAGCTATTAGATGGCTCTCTCAGGCTCTTGGATGGTTGCAGCAGCGCCAAGGATGCTATCTTGCAAACCAAGGAATGCGTACAGGATCTTCAATCGATCATACGAAGAACACGAGGAGGTGAATCTGGAGCACTCACCAGTGAGGTTGGGAAATACTTAACCTCCAGGAAGATGGTGAAAAAGATAATCCAAAAGGCTATGAAGAATCTAAAGGGAATCAACAGATCCACCTTCTCTTCCCCAAACCAGGACAATGAGTCTATTGCCATTGTTAACAAGTTCAGAGAAGTTGAAGCAGTCACTCTTGCAGTGTTTGAGTCACTGCTGCCCTTCATCTCTGGACCAAAATCACAGCCAAGCAGCTGGTCATTGGTCTCCAAGATGATGCACTCCAAAAAAGTTGCTTGTGAGGAAGAAACAGAAGCCAATGAATTTGCACAAGTGGATGCTGCATTGAACTCACTCATTGGACACAAGACAAGCAAAACTCAAAACAAAAGTGTCGAAAATGCGCAGAACCAGCTTGAGAAGCTGGAGTCATGCATTCAAGACCAAGAAGAAGGAGTTGAGTGCCTATTTAGGCAATTGATCAAAACAAGAGTCCCCCTCCTCAACATCCTTAACCACTAGAGAGCTATTAGCTTTTTCGATTCTGTACTTGAAAAACATACATGTGCATACTACAAATACATCTTTGATATCAAATTGATACAATCTATTGAGTAAATTGATAAACTTATTCCACAACAATAATGAATTTTTTTCTCTGTTTTTCAAGATTGAATTCTAAGTTTAAGTCACGTTCATCATAAAAGTAGTTACAGAAATAAATATTAAGTTAATAATCATCAAGATTTAATATCAGAGTTCAGAGCTGTCAAGATTCTTCTTGTGTTGAGAAAAATTATCACAGAGCTGTCAAGATTCACTCACCAAAGTTGAATGGCATTTACATTAAAATATGAACAGTGATTATATACGTGTTAAGCAATGGAAACAGTGCTGGCTAGTTTTCTGTTGCAGGGACAATAGAATCAATTACCAATCTCATGATGTTCCTCCACATCATGGAAAACGCATACTAAACTCATCTTTGTTGTTTTTGTCTGCCTCTTGCACAACAATCAACCTTAGGGGTTTGAAGATTTTAACAAGCAAACCAGCTTCAAAAAAATATGGTGAACCTCCATGAAATGGGCCAAACCAAGGTTCAAATGGTTTTAAACACTATTGACAGTTCATCTTGATAAAGAAAGCCCAAATCCACTCAAAACCCAAGTGAGAATTTGTGATTTTGTTAGAGAATATAGGTATGAGATGGAATGATTCCCAAGTATATGCCAAATCATATGCTTAATAAATGATGTCACCCATTATGATATTGGGGGTGGGAGATGGGGCATTTCCAATAGAAAAAATTATATGAAACAAGGATAATACTATTTTGCTATCTCTGGCCAATCACACTATGCCAAGTGGAAAAATTATCACGCGTGGCATAACGTGATTAGTCAGGGATAGAAAAACAATGATATCCCCGTTGCACACTAGTGTTTCTTCATTTCCAACCTTGAAGCTTATTTTATACTTCTTTAATGCCATTGTTTGTCCCTAAAAGACTTGTACCTCAAGTGATTAATAACAGTTATTTTGCACCCGAAGTTTTAAGTTTGAATCCCCTCTCTCCCTTTATTGCTCGTATAAATAAACAAATGTTATTGTTTGCCCCCTTTTGGCTTTGCAAATTACACTCTGAATCAAAGACATGGAAATTCAAAAGGAGCTATGCAAATATTGGGTTGACAAGGATCCTAAGCCGGAAATTGCAATTGAGATGGAAAAGGTAAAAAAGATGATTTGATTTCTGTCAGCCAAGACAAAATGAAATCACGTTCCTTAATTTTGCTTAATTAGAAACAAACATACAATTTATTTGCAGCAGACAAGCACGAAGTCATTTTCGTAGTCCTAAGTTGTGTCCAAGATAAGGATAATACAATAATTCACACGTTCATTTTGGACATCAATTCATTATCATTAAAGTTCTCTCCAAACACCCTTTTATTAAAATTTGTTTTGGTCTTTAGTCTGTAACACTTGTGCATTTTATAGAGCAGGAACTTGGATCAATAGGTAATTAAAGTTGTCCAAGTGCAAGGCATCGAAACCTTCTCAACTTCGTGATGAATTATTGGTGTAGTTGGATAGGAATGAACTATGTTCCTTGCCACATACCGAATTCATTTTAGCGATTATTAATCGGCCTATATCTCTCTTGAGCGAAAATGAATCCACTTTCATCCCTTTTTGCCGATGGCCCTGTCATTGGCCTCGCTAGCAAAGCGACCCCCACTCCCCCGCTTTTTTTTTTTTTTTTTTTTTTTTTTTTTTTTTTTTTTTTTTTTTTTTTTTTTTTTTTTTTTTTTTTTTTTTTTTTTTTTTTTTTTTTTTTTTTTTTTTTTTTTTTTTTTTTTTTTTTTTTTTTTTTTTTTTTTTTTTTTTTTTTTTTTTTTTTTTTTTTTTTTTTTTTTTTTTTTTTTTTTTTTTTTTTTTTTTTTTTTTTTTTTTTTTTTTTTTTTTTTTTTTTTTTTTTTTTTTTTTTTTTTTTTTTTTTTTTTTTTTTTTTTTTTTTTTTTTTTTTTTTTTTTTTTTTTTTTTTTTTTTTTTTTTTTTTTTTTTTTTTTTTTTTTTTTTTTTTTTTTTTTTTTTTTTTTTTTTTTTTTTTTTTTTTTTTTTTTTTTTTTTTTTTAAAAATGAATCCTGCATAAATGGGTATGGCTCATTATATCCCCTAATTAGGTATATATTTTTATGTTTACTAATGAAATTCACTCATACCATCTAGTTTAGTATGTAAGTTTTGCCCAACCGGGTTTTGAATTCTAGAATCGCCGCTTACTTCGCTGGTATCGATTTTGCTTCAGCAAGAACCCTACTGGCAGCATCTGCTTTACATTTTGTGGGTGGCTCAGTTGCTGCTGCTGCTGAGATTGCCCCGAAAACTGGTGAGAAGGACATGTCCAATTTTGCCGCGGACCACAATGGATATGCCACAAGGATAGTCGTCAATACTTGGCCCCCATTTTCAATGGTTTTTCGCATGTGAACCAACCACAAACGTTAAAAAGCAATTAAAGTTATTTATTACCAGGATTATCAAGTCTCTTTTACCAAAGAGTGTTGCTAAATGAACTCTAAAATTAACTGAGTACACCTTATAATTTAAGTACACTATAATATTTTAATTAAAATGTAAAATTAACTAAGTACACTTCATTTAACTACTAAAAATATCCTTGGTACACCCTAATACATCTATCACACAACACCCTAATACCAATCCTAAATCAGGTTTCTCTTTTTACATTAATTTGTACCCTCTTTTCAGATTTTGGGTTTGCATCAAAATCTTTAATTTCGTAAGCTGTTGTGGGAGTAGATTTGCTAGCTCCTTCCATTCAAAGCTTGATTCTTGTAAATTCTTGTGATTTTTATTTATTTATTTATTTATTTTTGGATTGAAGTTATTGCCCTCCAAATATGTTCTATCATCTTATGAAAGTTTTATGGGTTCCTTTCTTTTTTTCTGGGAAGAATGAGGCTCGATGTAGAATACAAGATCCTATCTATGGTTGCGTTGGGGTTATTTCCCAATTACATCAACAAATAGAAGATGCAGAATATTAATTAGCTAAAACACGAGCTGAAATTGCCCTCATGAACTCTGATGATGGACAAGAACCTCCTCAAGCTCAAGTTGACCAGCAGATTGAAAGAGAATTCCCAACTTAAATTTCTTGCAGCAACAAAGCAATGTTGGGCCGACCCATTTTGGTTCTTCCTCCAAAATTTCTTACTTCTTTTTTGGTGAAAAAAATTCCTTACTTTTTTTATTGATATGGTTTTGTATTACAAAAAACAAGCACCAAGCAATACGAAAACTTCTCTACGTTTGATTAGGGTTGAATATGGTGAGTAGGGTGTATTTATTAAAATTATATTTGTTCCACAATTCAATATATCATTTTTTTTCATTTTATATTTAGTGTAAATTAATAATTCAAGAAATAGTTTAATGGTATAGTGTACTCAATTAATTTTAGAGTTTGTTTAACAACTCTCTTCACCAAATATATTGCAACACTATCTTACTTGAGAAAATTTGATGAAGCTCATAACTTGTCAAAACTTTCAAGAGAAAAAGAAAACCTAAATCTTAAACCTGTACAGTATTACCACATTATTCGATAGCGATTTGTTTTCGGAATGGTTATGTAGGAAACCTTTTTTTGCGCAATAGCAGTTTTACTAGTAGCAATACGACTAAAGCACATAACATTTTGGGGTAACATCATAACCACATTTCAACAATTTAAAAAATTACTGGTGTTAGATTAAAAGTGTAATAAAGATATTAAAAATTCACCCAACATAATCTCACTCTTATTTATAAATAAGAGTTTTTATTTTTAATTGAGTACGACCCATTCAAGATAAAAAAATATCTCTTAATTATAATATCTTAATAAAGAGAAAACCCTTTGATTCCAATATGAAGAATGAAATAAATAATGGAATTTGATTTGATGTTACGGCTGCATCCAGGAAACCCTAAATTGCCTACATACCCCATTTTGGGGATCAAGCATTTTGTAGTTCTCAAGAGAATTTGATTGGACTTTCAAGGAATGAATGATCCCTTGAAAAAATTTGTGATATGAGAAATATTTTATGGGATTTGGATGAATGTGGCTGGACCAAGGATTCAATTTGATTTTGTGGTTGGAAAAGTGTTTGTGGTGAATTTGGTTAAGATACACCAGGGATTCTGTTTGGACTTGCAGTTGTATTTGGATTGAATTTCTAAATTGCCTACGTATCCTTGGCGGAATCAAACCAGACGTAGTTCCTTGAAAAATTAATGGGTATGTATGGCCCACTAATTGAGAATTTGTGTTCGAGAGATTTGAATTTGATCTCATTGAAATTTGCACGGGTAGATGACCCATGAGAAAATTTGGAATGGTTTTGTACCATTTTTTATTGTCAATGTCCAAAGAAAATTCACAGGCATTTTAATGAGCCTATTAATTTACTCACATATGGTTTTGAGGATTTAAAAATTAATCCATTAACCACGTAATTTACTTGGACCATCCATTAAATATTTTGGACTTTTGAGAGTTTAATGGGTAATTTGTTTTGTCAACCCATCAATTTGTTTACGGGCCTTAATATTTCCATTAGTTGGCCCATAAACAAAGAGTCCACGTCTGAGAGCCAGCTACCAATTGAAACCAAAACCAATACAAAGCTTTGAATTTGAGAAACCAAAACCAAAGAGAAGTCAAAACAAGGTTGGTCCTTTCCTTTGCTCCCTTCTGTCAGAGTTAGACCATGTAGTCTATTAAACTAGTAATTGAAAGTCATGGAATTTAAAGAGGCCACGTCTGTTTGTACAAAGCTTGTTTTGCTACTTTTTTGGTTTTTTGTGGTTTTCTTCTTCCTTGCTTTTTTTTGTTTCTTTTTCCGTGCTTTGCTTATTTCTTCTTGCGAGCTTTCTCCCTAAGCTCTTGTTGTTTGGCTTTCAATTGCTCTAATGTGAGAGAAGGTTTTGGAGCCTCAACTTTGGTGTTGACTAGTACTGATGGCATTATGTTTGGATTATTTTCATGTTCCACCACCCAATTGGCTGTAGCCTCCAAGCTAGCATAGTGAAATACAATCTGGAGTGAGCCATACAAGGGGTGTCCCTCAAATAAGCTTATTTGAGGGATCCCTCAATGGAAGCTCTCTGTATATATATATATATATATATATATATATATATATATATATCAAATGAGAGGTAGGCCAGCACAAGAAAGTCTCATGTTGTTTTCACAGCATAGAAAACACAAAAATGGAATAATTACGTCGACGTCAATGTGCTTGATTTGTAAAGCAGTAGAATCGGTATCATTTTGCTCCATTTTTCTAATAGTAAGGGCAAAAACTAAGATAGCCTAGGATGATTAGTGGACCCACAATATTTCTTTATAAATTGGCCATTTCTTCTTGTGATTAACCAAAACGAGATAATTCGATGGCTGCAGTTAATCATTTTTATGTTTTGAATATTGGGATGAATATTAACCCTAATTTCAATGTCATTTACTTGTTCAACAACCTGCAGTTGAGGAACACACTCTATGATCACGACATTCTTGCATTTATCATTCCAACACTCCTGTCGTTGGTCCAGATCATATATCCAGCTTATCAAGATCTCTTCCGAACACACCCTATGGCCATGAGCGTTGTGCGGTCTAGCTTGCTTGCTTATTGCTTGGCCTTCAGCTTGTGGGTGCTAAGTATAAGACATTATGCTCGTCGACAAAATCTTGCATATGCTCATTTCTGGTGCCCTATGGCCATGAGGCTGTTTGGTTCAGTCTCGGTTACTTCACTTCTCTACATTTTATTTCCCCATGACCCCTCCTGGCAGCCTCTCATTTACATTTTGTGGGTAGCTCAGTTGCTGCTGCTGCTGGCCTTGCTCCGGAAACTGGTGACCACCACATGCCCACTTTTGCTGCGATCAGAGAGGATAGTCAATACTGGGCCCCACTATATCATTAGAGTGAATGAATGATTTCATAATATCGTCACGAGGTGTTACTAATTCACCTGTATTTTTATTTTTTTGGAGCAATTCGTAGAAGTATAAACTTGCGCTAGCCCTAAGTTGGTATCATACTTTAAAAATAATACTAATAAATATATACATGTTACAAAGGTAAACTGATAACACCATGTCACATGTCAGGTGTTATTGAACTCAAAATTTTCTCTATTCATCGGAGGACCAATGTATCGATGTTGAAATAATGCAACAATATTATGAAACTTAATATTCTTAAGTGTCCTATAATTTACTATGAAATAATACGACAATATTATTTGTGGAGCTTGTAGTCCAAGAGATACTTACCTGCTACATGTATATTCATTTTCTCATTCTCTCGCCACATAATTATAATTATCTGATTACAAAAGAATAAATAAAAACGCAAATCTAAATGCGATATTCCTGGAAGGAGCAAAGCAAACAAAGTCTACAAATAAATTAAAGAAAATAACTAAACCACCGAGCTAGATGGCCCGCCTGGGCCACCAAGTTAGTGCTTTTGCTTTGCTTGGGTCATGGTTTGTAAGTTTCTGAGCCACGTGGTTAGCCTTGGTGTACTACTGTTGCTTTCTGCTTTTTTGTTCTTCTCTGTTGTGCCTCTCCAGCTTTTGGCTCTTTTATTGAAAGCTGAATTTGACCGACAAAATAAAAAAATAAAAAAATAAAAAAATCTTGTGCATTTCGTTGTCCTCGTTGGTGGTGGTGATGGGACAAAACCGTGACAGAAGGACATGTGACCTTAATGGATTTGACACAAGGATAGTTAATCATGTTGCACTATGTTAATTTAACGAGTGTTGTTATTTGTGTCATGTTAACTGAACATTTTGTGAGTGTCTTTCAAATAATACATTACCAACATAAAATGAATCCCGCATAAATCAATCTTAATTTTATTAGAAAGGTGATATACACAATATGATTGATTGAAATGATAAAAATAATTTTATGTTTTTCCAACAAATGACAAATGGTTTTATGGTTTGCCAATAGTGAATGACTTTTGTGGCACATGAGATTGTGGATGGCCAATAAGAGCACTTCCACCTACAAGGATTAAGTCTAAGGCAAGGGCAAGCAAGGGCTGCCACTATTCATATGAATAGTGTCAACCTTTGCATTTGTGGTTCCACCCATGAGAGCTAAGTCTAGGGCAAGTCTAAGGCAAATACTATTCATATTAGATATGAGGAGATGAATTTGTATATAGTTTTTGGTGTGGGAAGTAAAGAATATGCCTAGGTATTTATTTAAAAAAATTCTGGATTTTTTGGTTTTTTTTTCCTTTTTTTTTCTTTTTTTTTGGGTTGCTGACGTCAGCATTGCATCAGTTTGCCCTGGCAAAAACTCGGGCTGAATTTTCCCGTGGGCTTGCCTAGGCTCGTGGGACCCAGCTCTTGCCAGGGCTAGCCCTTGCGCGCTGGAGCTGCTTCCTTCCCCCCTGAGCTGCCTTTTGCCCGGTTTTGAAGCAAGGGTGGACTTGCTCTAAGAGACTAAGGTAATATTTAACAAAGAAGCAAAAACCAATAAGAGGGCCAAAAAAATTAACCCTTGTTTGTTCGACTTAAACTCTAAACCTTTAAATAAAATAAAATAAAATAAATTTTGGTCAGAACAATTAGTCAATGTTTTTTCGCATGTGAACCACCCACACAAACGTTGAAAAGCCAGTTATTTATTACAAGGATCATCATGTCTCTTTCACCATAGTTCACCATTATCTTACTTCGTTAGTTTTCTGAGTTTTGCGCAGATGAGTCATTTTGCTTAAGAATTTTCTTTGTTAGTCATTTAACACACAAACCCAATATTGGCAAAAAAGACACACACACACAAAATCAAGAAGCACTAAATTACGACCATTGACGTTTCAATTGCTGTATAACGACCCAAAATCTCATGTATAAAATTTTCCTTTATCATCGACATCCTGATCAGAGAAAAGAGCCACTACAAAGATATGGTTAAAGTAGAAACTTCAACACAATTGAGTTTGCTAGAGGATTCTTGAAAATTCACTTTTAAAATACAAGTAGTCTTGGAATGTGCGAATAGCGAAATCGAAGTATTATCTTAGAGAATGAAATTGGGAGAGAAGTGAGAGTAAGAAACTAAACAATTTATAATGTACACCAGTATGGCAACGTTGGGTTTCATAACATATATATGAATCTCATGCTAATAGAGGTAGGACAAAAATGAATATGGATGGACTAATGGTACATATATAGCAGTGGACTCTTTAAAACACTAAATAGTAGGACCACAATACATGCACTAGGCACTAACTTTTTCTCTGACTCTTATCTCAATTCTTTCATATGATATGGGATTAATGAAGTTAATTATGAAATTATGTAAGTCCTAATCCAGACGAGAGAGAATAACACTTGACTATAGAGTTTGTCTGTGTGATACATTCATTGAGGTCATTGGCAAAAGCGGGCATGCCCTCCGGCTAATGCGAATTTGTGCCACTCGTAATTCTTGGTGGATGCTTTGCCATAGTTTCCGAATCAAACGGTCAAAGCCCAGCACCACCACCAGAAATAACAAGAAGCACAAAGTTAGGTAGGAGGAGGAGTGTGAGAAAAATAGAATCCACTAGAGTGAAGCATTTGAGAGTGAACCAAACACAAGCATGGCCTTGCGGCGGCTCCATTTATTTGCATGATCACCAAAACTGAAGGCGCGCGAAGCAGTATGCAACCAAACCAGACAGCAAAATGGTGAGGGCCGTAGGGTGTGTTCGGAAGAGATCTACGGCTGGATATCTCATCTGGACCAACGTCAGGAGTGTTGGAATGGTGAAGGCAAAAATGTCCTGTTGGTTGTAACAACTAGAATACGACGTAGTCGAATTGGAAGCATCAGGCATTATTTGTAGTACAACTGAATAGTTCATGAAGTACTGCGGCTGATTGTTGATGATGTAGGTGACATTGCAACTGCGATCAGGATTGATCATCATCTCCGAACCTAAAAAAAAAAATTGATGAATTGCGTTGTTGCTAAGACCTGTCTTGAGAAATCTAATGGTGTGGGAGAAATTAATTTATACAGAAATTAAGGTCCTACTGGACCAAAATGCGACTTCGGCAAAAATTTATACAGAAATTGGGGTCCCACTGGACCAATATGCGGCTTGGGCAAATTAGGCGGATGTCGCGGCTTGGACTAATTGTAAAATTGACGTATATTCGGCTATATAGGTTCCTTCTTTCTTTAAATCAGGGTGGACCTTTCGTGGAAGCTACGTACATTTAGAAATGAACCATGAAGAGCAGTGAGAATTAACATGGAATTTGCAATTTAAGGCGAAGCAAATGAGAACTGTGAGAAGGATCTACGCACGAGTTGTTTAATAGGCACCTTGGTTTGCTTGTAAGCGGCACCGTGTCTCAATTTATTTATTTAATTTGTTTATATATAAGCGATATTGGAGAAGGGGATTTTTTTGTCATCAATGTTCGAATTTGAGACCAATGATTTGCAAATTAAGGCTATTTTCCTCTAAGCTAGTCTTCATTGGCGCATTTTACGTGTTGCTTTATGGTGTCTCATGCTACGTCTTTTATTTTTTTCTGGTAGAGAAATTCTAGGATTGCATTCATAATTCAGTCAACAAAACCATTAGCCACAAATGACTATTACAATTGTTTACACCATAATCAACCGAGCATATCCAGCCTCAAAACAACTAGCACCAAGGCAGACACGTGTCACCACCACAGTGACTTGCACAAAGTCCCACATTGGAAATCTACACAAACCTCTCACTTTCACCTCTTTATAAATAGGGAGTAGTATCCATGTGAAAAAGGGACTTCATCTCTCCAGTTAGAAGAGGATCCGGGTCTCAAAGCTAGACCCTAGGGCCGGGGTCTCTCTCCTAGATCCCTGGCCGGGGCATCTCACTTGTCATCTTTATATTCAGGTCCAACCCTATGTACAAATGTAATCATACACTATTATAATGAGAGAATACTTCTCCGTGGATGTAGCCCATTCATTAAGGGTGAACCACGTATATCTTGTCTTCTTTACATTTATCGCTTGCCCAAGTCTTTACACACATGCTTAAGGTCCTCACCTTCATTCATCATCCATCACACCTCATCACTAAGTTGGACTCAATCTTGGCCCAACCATTTTGAGCATCAACAGTTTGGCGCCGTCTGTGGGAATTGATACAAAAGGCTTATGTCGTTCTCCTCTTCCTCAGTGCCCTTCGGCACCCATACAATCTTCATCATATAACTTGTGCGATGCCTTCAGCACCCAGCCATCAACTAGCGCGAGCGATGCCTTAGGCACCCAGCCATCAACCGGCGCTTCTGCTCATGTCTAGCCACAATGCCTTGTCACAATGCGAGCTTTGTGTTGCCTCCGGCACCATCGTGCCTAACCACATCGCCTTGAGACATGCGAGCTTTGTGTTAAAATCATTAGCCACAAATGACTATTACAATAACAAAGCAGCCTAACATCAAAATTAAGACAACCTGCTGCGCTTCCACTAACAATCACACATGACTGAAGAAATTCTGGTATAAACATCTCAACTAAGAGTGCAAACTCAGAATAATAATAAAAAGATAAGTTAATGTCCCTATACTCATTCCCAAAGCCGCATGCAGTGGTGTGGGAATGTTTTTTTATATTCTCCATGCCTTTCGATTTAATATTTAGAGGTAAAACATAGGTTCTTCTTCAGTTCACTCTTGCAAGCACTGGTGAGGATTTGGATCCAGTCTTTCAACTGGGTTTTTATTTTTTTGAAAATTTTCAACTGAGGTTTTTTTATTTGGCTCAGAAAATCACTTGCGAGAGATAATAGATTCTTACTCTTGTAATTCCAAGTTTGAAGTATTTTTTTTTAATGACAGAAGTTTGAAGTTTCAAAGTGGAGAAAGGAGGCTCAAATTGAAGTTTGAAGTTTGGAGAAAGGATTTGGCACAAACTGTTTGAAGTTTCAAATCCAGGTTTTATTGTTCTCTATCTGTTCTTTAGTTTTGTTCTTATTACTTTTGTGCTTGTTAAAAAAAATGTTTCCTAAAAAAGAACTTTCTGAAAATTTCAAAAGACAGAGAAAAAAAAGAAGAAGAAGAGATTGTTGAAACTTTAAGAGGATCTTTGAAAAAATATTTCTTGTAGGTACATAGGATGCTGGTTCGATTTGATTAATTGTGGAGGATATTGAAGCTGACAGATACGGATACTTAATTAATTTGTTGTTGAATGTAATGCTTTTTGTCAGTGGCGGTTCCAGGATTCGAAAGCCGACCGAGCAAAATTTATGTAATAAACTCGACGGTACGAGTGAATTTCATTAATAAACATAAAAAGATACACCTAGTCAGGGGGGACGGAATGAGCCTTAACCTCAATGCATCTAGATCTACAAATACAAAAACTAAAATAAAAACAAAAGTTAAATGCAATGCAATGCAATGCAATGCAATACAAAACAACATTATTTAAATCTAAAATCTAACCATACGAGGCTTAGAACTCTTAAATTCCTCAATTATGGATGCATTATCAATAGCATTGGCAAACTCTCTTTCAATGTGGAGGATCATACAATCACCAAGAAATTCATTACTTATGGTGCTTCGAAGTCGATTCTTAATAATTCTCATACATGAGAAAGCTCGTTCCGTTGTTGCTGTAGAAACAGGAAAAGTCAACACCAACTGAACCAACCTGTCAATAAAATAGTAGTTTTCCCCCAAAGTTGTTTCCACCAATTGTTGACATAACTGAGGAAGAGTAGTGATTTCCTTAAAGCATGGAAGACGTTTTATATCATTCTGAAAATACTTGAGCTCTACTTCTAAAGCTTTCAACTCATGAGGAAGGAAATCAGCATGATAGAATTTCTGAGCAAGTTTACATATATGCTCAATATTGAATGACATGAAAGAATTACGCGGATCTAATGCTGAGCTAAGAGTAAGAAGTTCAACTGTTTGCTCAGGAAATCTATCATTTAACTCCCTCATCATGCAATCTAGAACATCATTAAATACATCAATGCGATAGGCATGCTCAATTGTAATAAAATCTTTTTGTTGGCAAGAACGACGTGTGCCCGTCATATAACGACCACCCATATCAGGAACATCAACACAATGTAGTTCACAAAATGATACCACACTCATGAAAAAATCATCCCAACCATTTTCCCTCATATCTTCAAGTTGCATTTTTGTGTTCTCAACAAAATTTAAAGCACTTACAATGTCTTGAGTTTTCGTCTAAAATGCTTGACAAAGAAAATTGGTCGATCCCATAATTTTCTCCATCAAAACCAATGAAAACACAAACTCAAAAGACATCATAGCAATATAGTTACTCTCTGCATCGCCACGAAACTGTTGGTTAGGTTCATGATCACTGATTTCCAAAAGAAGTAATTTAGTCTCTTTAAATAGACTCATTAAACTTGTAATAGAGGCAAAATGAGATCCCCAACGAGTTGCTCCAGCTCGTTTCAAAGTATGAGCTTGATTAAGTCCTTTACCTGTCTCAAGTTCTCCAGAATCCAACAACTCCTTGAGTTCAGTTTTTCGAATTAAGTTTAACTCATTACGGCGCTTAGCAGAAGCACTAACAAAATTCACAATGTTAGTCAGCATTAAAAAAAATCTCCAAACAACTTTCACATCTTTACCTGCGCCATTTAATGCTAATTGCAAGCGATGAGCAAAACAGTGCACATAATATGCATATGGACAATCTTCAAGAAACAATGCTTGTAATCCATTCCATGAACCACGCATATTACTAGCATCATCATACTCTTGACCACGCATGTTTTCCACTAGAATGCCATTATTACCAAGCACTTTGCATATCTCTTTTTAAGAGTCAAGGCATTAGTGTTTGCAACACTCACAATGTCGAAAAAACGCTCGCGAATAAATCCTTGACCATCAACAAATCTTAGAATAATAGTCATTTGTTCTTTACCTGATTCATCAAGTGATTCATCAACAAGAATACAAAATTTGTTCATCTCAAGTTCTCTACAAATTGTCTTCCTCACCTTGGTAGCAAAAATATGCAAGATTTGTTTTTGTATGTCATTGGAAATATACTGAGCATTTTGAGGAGCCTTATCTAGGACAACTTTCTCAACTTCCATATTCATTCTTGCAAAACACTTTATGATTTCAACAAAATTGCCTCGATTAGATGAGCCAATAGATTCATCATGGCCTCGAAAAGCCAATGCTTGATTTGTTAGATACCTAATGCCCTCTATTGTGATTGTAAGTCGCAACCGATTGTCCATCACTTGTTGATTTGATTGCTTTTCTACCACTTCTTCAATATTAACATAAGGATTTTTTAAGCTAATCCACTTTTGCATAGAAAGATGATGTGGTGAATTTAGTTTGCCTACATGATGTTGAAATGCACAATGATTCCCACCAATTCTCTTCCAACTTTAAAACCCATCAATAGTAAAGGCCGGAAATGATTGAGTCTTATCAAATAGGAAACAAGGAAAACAAAATGCCTTGTTCTTAGCAATTGAATACTCAAGCCAAGAGAATTGACCAAACCACTTTTTATTAAATCGACATAAGATTTTCCCTTCTAAGTGGCTTGGATAATCTTCTAACTCAGGTTGACATGGCCCTAAAGGAATATATGCTCTTCGCACATTATCTTGTTCATTCACTGAATATTTGCATATTAGACGACGTAATCCTGGATCACGTTCAAGATAATTGATATTAAAATCTTGATTATCATTAACTCTTTGACTCTCAACTCTTTCAACTTGAGGCTCAACAATGGGAGACTCGGGAAGATTTTGCTCATCACAAATTAGAGGAGTAGATAAAGAAGTGCTAGGCATCGTATTAGATGATGACCCACCATCATTTTTTTTCTTAAAAAAAGACAACAAGTTCTTTATTTTCTTGGGGTTCCGATTGTGATCCGACATAATAAAAGATAACTTATAAATAATATGTACAAATTATTTTAGTCAAACATGTCAACAACAACAAAACTAATTATCATAATATAATCAATGCATTTAATCAAACATACCAACACAACACACAAATCAAACATCTCAACAACATCAACAACAAATTAAACATCATAACAATACCAACAACAAATTAAATATCTCAACAAAATTCCTAAAATCAAAGCCCTAATTAATTTCAACAAAATCTCCCAATTAGAATTCATTCCTAATTAAACCCTAGAATATTTTCTATTCAAATTAAAGAGCATAAGATAATTAAAATGAGAGAATGAGAGAAGAATACTTGTTGCCAATAAGAGAAGTTGCTCCTACAAAGAAGTTGAGAGTTGAGTTGATGGTGGCTGAAGGTTGAGCTTGAGACGGAGAGGGAAGTGCTAATATTTTTCACAGAGAGTGAAGTTTCTGTTTGGTGGCTGACTACACTCAGGTTCACTTCAGATTTTAATTTTGGCTGTTGCACTTGCAGTGCATATATTCTTTGTTTAAGTGGGCTTGTTTAAGTGAGTGGGCTACTTGCCTTTGAATTATTGGCTGGGCAAGTTACTTAGTATTTTTTTTTGGTCAAAATTTTGGGCCAGACATGAGCCTAGCCAACCCATGACTGGAACTGCCACTGTTTTTTATGTCGGGTACTATTTTTCCTTTGTTTTAGGTTTTGTCCCACTGATTTTGCTTAAACAAGGTTTTAACGATGCCCCAAAATATTCTCTATTATCTTTTGTAAACTCTTATAATTTGAATAGAAATTAATCAATTGATAAATAAAAAAGTAATTTTAATAATTAATTTATAAAGTAATTTTAATAATTAATTTATCTATGAAGCACACACTGTAAAATTTTGTCATGGGCCTTAGATCACCCAGGAGCAGCCTTGATAACACAACGTGCACTCTCCCCGCATTGTGGAAAGTATAATTCCACAACATGTAACTTATGCATAGTCGTAGGGTATTTTTCTTGTAGTGTTTGTGTTCTCACGACTGCATCATCGTACCTTCTCTAAACTTTCCTCCCGTCGCAGGCGAATATTCCAGGAGTGAATGGGGCCATGCATTCGGCAATTACGTCGAATGATTCGTTTGGGCACGTGCGAAGACTTTCTACACTTCCTGTTCCTGGGGCCTGAGTGGAACTGTTTGGGCAATTTTTGGGGTGAACATGAACCATATAAATAATTTACAACTTATTACAAGTCTCAGGAACAAAGATTCTTTCTCCTTTAAATATTCTGTTGTTGAATCTCTGACCAAACACCAAAATAGCTAAGCTAGTAGACTATTGTATATATTATGATTACCGTGCGGAATTAAGGCAACCATGATTTTTTATTTTTTATTTTATATAAATAATAAAGGGAAAAAGGAAATTTAGAAAGCAACATGGTTTCAGAATAATCTTCAATCTCATCCTTTGGGGTTGTAGATAAGGTGTACCAACCTTGTTTAAGCAATTACTGCCCAACTCTCTTGATCAAACTTAGCGGCACAACTTAGCGGCACATTTGAATCACATTTCATAAGGGCCATGCGGACTTGGTCATCACCACACCTTCCTCCAGTATGTCAATGGCAGTCCCTCATGCGGCGCCCCTGGTTAATAAATAGCCGTGTACGGAACTTAATTTCTCACTAGCGATATTATATTATTTCTCAAGTTTCAGCAGCAACGCAATTCATCATTTTAAGTTTGGTATGATGATCAATCCTCCTGATCATGACAGTTGTAATGTCACCTACTTCATCAATAATCAGCCCCGCTACTTAATGAACTATTCAGTTGCGCTACAAATAATGCCTGCTGCTTCGAATTACAATCGTCATGCTCGTGACATTTTTGCCTTCGTGATTTCAACACTCCTGACGTTGGTCCAGATGAGATATCCAGCCGAAGTTCTGTTTCAAACACACCCTACGGCCATCACAGCATTCATCTCTAGTTTACTTGCATATTGCTTCGCCTCATTTTGTGCGTCTTGTTTTTGCCGGTGGCGGGACTAGGCTTGGACCTCTTGGTTTTTAAACTGTGGCAAGAATTACGCGGGGCACAAAATAGCATTAGTCAGAGGGCATGCCCGCTTTTGCCAGTGACCTCAGTGAATATGTTTCTCACATAGAATAGTATGTGGTTCCATGACCTCATGGTTCCCACGTCTTATGAAAGAGTTGGAGAAGAAGTCAGTGTCCATAGATTATTGTTAGTTCCAATAGTACTATATTGTTTTAAGACTGCCCTGTGTCACGGGTTGCACATAGACAAGTGCTACCGTGATTCCGTTGGGACATCTATGCACTTAAGAGGTAGTCTAAGTGTGGAAGGGCTAGAGCTTAAGAGCTAGAATGGTTGGTGTTGGCCGGGTTGCACTTGTGAAGGGTATTTTGGGTATTTCCAAAGGTTACGGGAGGAACCTGAAGGAACCAAGAATACCAAAATGTTCATGATGTCGAGACGCAGGAAACGCAACTGACGGTTCGCCATTCGGAGTTCGTATGAAGGTGTTATGCCCAATTATGACTCCTCGTGCATAGGTGATGTTCCCTCCTGGCAGAAGGCTAAATGCATAAAATGCTATATAGGGGGTGACATGGTGTCATGCTCTCCACCACCCCTGGTGCTTACACCCTTGTGGCACTAAGCGAGCATCCTTATGACATTGGAGGTAGTCATAAGGGCGGGCATAAGATTGTTGAAGGATAATCTGTGTCTCCGAGATAAAGGAATTCCCGAGGACAGTACGAAGACGCGGGGCCGTTCGTATTGCGCATCGTTGTAAAGAGTGAGGTTAACGTATAGCATTCGCTATGCCATCGGCTAGCGAGGAATTTGACAATACTCGATGGACTTGGCTTGGGTTCAGCCTTGTTCAAGATGGAAGGAAGATATTCGGATGCCGGTACGCGTGGGTTGCGACCCCATGCAATGCATAGATGGTTATGTGGGACATTCGGAATACATATGTTGCCAAGGCTTGGGCGACATGCAAGTATGACAGCTTGCGTGTATAGCTTAAGGATGTGGGCTATCGTGGACGCTAAAGGAATGACCGACAGAAGTGTGGGTAAACCGATGGTGTGTTGGATCGCTATGTCTTGACTTGGACATGAGCGAGCCAGGAGTTAAGCATGCGACGTGGTCGATGCAGTTGACGTGTCTTATGCAACGCTTGATGTATGGGCGTCGAGGGTTCGTTGCCGGATGCGGAGTGATTGTATTGTCACATGGTAGTGTGACTCGTTGTCTAGGGGAAGACGACACTTGAAGGGGAACCTCTTGCGGAGTTGTGAGAGTCATGAATATCATGAAGTGGGAGAAGGCTGACTGGGATCCGAAGGGATCCTGGGCCGCACGGGTGTGCTTTGAGTGGCGAAATTTGTGTTTCGCTTCCGCCGCGCCGCGCCGCTCGCTCATCCCGTGACACCTATGTACTATTAGGCTATCCACTTTTTGTCCAGCACTGAAGTAACCCTACCTCTATTAGAGGAATGGGGAAAGGGGAAGGTTCGGACCTGTAAATGTAATGTTCAAAGTCAATTAATTATTCACATAATATTTTGATATTTTGTAATGATATTTTTGTAAAATTAGGTACTACATTTTGGTTTTGGCCTTATGCTAATTAGATGAAATTGTATTCTTATATTCCAAATTAATAAACTATATTGTGTTTTAAAACTAAAGCTCCCTAATTTTTATCCTACCTCAAGATGATAACAAATGCTCAGTACAAATAGTTTTTGTTTTTGTTTTGTTTTGTTTTTTCCAAGCAGTACAGTCAAAAAAGTCTTTGGATATACAATGAGAAAGGATAAATTATTGCATGGTCTCCTTCATTTGTCACGCCGCCTGACTCACGCGTCATCAATTTTTGTGATGCACATTCCTCGCCTCCCTTTATTCATACGTCGTTCACCTTTTTTATACTAATGTTTCATGCTGCCACATCCCAACTTCCTATATATAGCTTACGTTATCACTCTTTTTGCCTCATATTCCCAGTCTCCTTTATTTATCATACGTCGTCATGTTCTTTCTTGGACATGTTTTTCCACTTGATCTGCCTTTGTATATATATACACACGTCCTCGTTCTTTCAAGCCACACAAAATGGATAATTGAAAACCAAAACATAGCCCAGATATAGGACTAGGATGCCTGGAATTAATCATTTTTATACGGGGATGAATATTAGTCCTCCTAGTAGTTCTAATGTTGTCATATGTTATATCAACCACCAGCAGTTGTTCATCAACTTTGCAGTACAACAACAACAAACATCTAACCGCCGTCATCATCATGGCAAAAAAAACATCCTTGCGTTCACCATTTCGACAATCCTGACGTTGGTCCAGATGCGATATGCACAAGAAGATCTGTTTGAAACGCACCACTTCGTTATGGTGGTTGTTCTGTCTAGCGTCCTCGCATACTGCCTGCCCTTCAGCTTACTCGGGCGACTACTGCTAGTTATGAGGCCTAGTGTTAATGCTGGTACGGCTAGCGATGAACATGATTGTCATGCATACATGTATAAATGGTGTCACATCATCATGCTGCTGTTTGGCTCACTCTCAGTTGCTTCACTCTTGTGGCTTCTACTTTTTCCACACTTCCCTTCCTGGCGGCCTGTGCTCTACCTAGTTTTGATCTTCTTGTTTTCGTTGGTGGTGCTGGTGTTAGCCTCGAAACTGGTGCCGGCCGTTGGCAAATTCTTTTCTCCGGTATGCCGAGGACAAAACCGTTGTAGGAGGACAAGTCCATTTTTGCCCCTAAGCACAGTGGATTTGTCCCAAAGATAATCAATTATATAGGTCCCATTATATTATTTCAATATCACCGGTTATGTACAGTTATGTTTCTATATCTTTTATTTCTTGAAATAACATGTGAAAAAGAATGAAAATTTAGGATGACTATTGTCCAGTTTTGTGGCTAGTAAACTCTAATTTAGACGTTGTACGTAATGATGCTTCTATGCATATGTCATATGTGTAATTTCAAAAGACTTGGGTTTTATTTGTTCTCTAGCGGTATTCCTATCCAATCTCAACAAAGTGAGATAATAACCCATTTGAATTTAAAAGGCTCCCAACAAGTGATAATTCCAATTACAATGTATGGGTGGGCGTGGATTGGATTGGGTCGATTTTAGTCCAAATTGTTAGAAATTTAGACTGTATCTTCGGTTAACTCATCTCTTCACATCAAAATATTTGTCAATTTCAACTTTCACAAAAGAAAACAAAAAAGCCAAAATGGAACGTTGCACTTTATCCTTTCATCTTGCTTCTCCTCCACACACTCTTGAAACTTCTTGTTCCTTTGTACTTTTCCAATGAATGACGAATCGTTTTGTGGAACATCAAGGGCGGAACCAAGAATTTTTCAAGGAGTGGGCTAGCTAAATTTATTAGTTTAAAATTCAATGATTATTTTATTTGGTACTTACAATTTCTATAGTCTTTTTAGAAATAAAAGTAAACATTGAATCATATAAACCATGCTAGTTCATAGCTCCATAGACTAATTTTCAATAAGCTTTAACATAAACCAAATATGGTTTAACACCATAGTGGCTTTGTACTTGTTTATGTTCCTCTTATCAATAAAATACTATCGCTTTTTATAAAAAACAAAAAACAAAAACATACTAAATGCAACTAAAAAACACATATGATCAAAATGAAAATATGTTCAATAACATAACTGAAAGTGAACCTATTTTAATGTGTATTTTTATTGCTGCCCTCCAACTAAATTTATAAATAAATAAAAAAGGACTTTTTATTGCTGCCCTCCAACTGAAAGTGAACCTTAGCTGGTTGTTGTATTCCAACTTCTTTTCGTGTTATTTGATCTCCTCATGTAAAGTTTAAATTTCCTCACACCAAATAGTGTTGAGATTTTCTATATTTATACAGAGTATGAATCAGTTGCAGAAATTCAAAAGAGATGATATCAAGGTGGCGTTACACTTGCTATGATCAAGGAAAGATTACAAAATAATTACAAGATTCTTAGGAAGGAAAGACTACAGCTAGTGCTAATATCATGAGTGATCTGCAGCTGTTACAGCTGCATTTGTAACGGTTGAAGGTGCAACTAATATGCCCTCTCAAGTTAAGCGTTCTTGAACTCTCAACTTGTCTTTGATGAAAGTGAACCGAGGGGAGCTCAATGGTTTGGTCATGAAACTACTACATTTTACTATTTGCGTGATGAGATTTTCCGCGACGAAGACAAATTCTTCGCGACGGAAAAACAAATTCGTCGCGCAAAACTACAAAATCTTGCGCGACGAAATATTTGGTCGCGCAAAGATACTTAGCACGACAAACAAACGAATCATCGCGCAAGTGGGGAAGAAAAACCCGGGTTAATTTTTTTTTGCGCCAAACATTTGCGCGACGATATAGTTCGTCACGCAAGGTATCCTGGCGTGACGGTTACAAATTTTGTCGCGCAAAAGTGGATAGGAAAAACTGCGATACGGATTTTTTGGCCGCAAATACTTGCACGACGGAGATAGAGTTCATTGCGCAAAGTGTGATGTCGGCATGTTATCATGCGACGGAAATTTGCGTATGCGCGACGCCGTTTAGAGTTTGCACGACAGAGATTTGCATGACGAAGGAGATATTTTCGTCACGCAAAATTCCGATGTTGACAGGTCTTTGCGCAACGAAAAAAGGTTATTTTATGCGACGAAAAAATTGTTTTGCGCGACGAAAATGATATTTCTTCGCGCAAACTCCTTCTTCTACATATATGCATTCTGCCATTGCAGAGTAAGAATGCAAAAGTTTAGAAAAATTTAGAAATCTGTCTGTGCTGTGCTGCGCTGCTGCCTCTGTTGGGAATTCAATACGCTCATTGGGTAAGTATTATTTGTCTCCAAGACTTGCATGATTCTGTTGATAGGTTTCTTCAGTTGCCCCTCACTCAACAAGCCTTAGCCCAATTGCATAATGAGAAATGAACTAATGAGTTGTTAGATGGCTCTCTCAGGCTGTTGGATGTTTGTGGCACTGCCAAGGATGTGCCTTGTTACAAACCAAGGAATGCATGCAGGACCTTCAATCGATCATGCGAAGAAGGCGGGGAGGTGAAACTGAAGCTCTTACAAGTGAGGTTAGGAAATACTTAACCTCTAGGAAGATGGTGAAAAAGGCAATCCAAAAGGCTATGAAGAATCTCAAGGCAGTCGACAACATATCCACCTTCTCTTCCCTCAACAAGGACAATGAGACATTTTCCATTGTTAGCAAGTTGAGAGATGTTGAAGCAATCACTCTCGCAGTGTTTGAGTCACCTCTTTCCTTCATCTCTGGGCCAAAATCACAGCCAAGCAGCTAGTCAAGATGATGCAGTCAAAGAAATTTTCTTGTGAGGAAGCAACAAAAACAAATGAATTTGCCGAGGTGGATGCTGCATTGAACTCACTCATCGTCTTTTTTTGTTTTCGACACATATATGGAGGCCCTAATCCTATGATATATGTTGACATGTTGACACCAACTACTAATGTCACCTCACCTGAACAAGGAGTTACCATTTTGTTATAAAGACCAAAAGTAAATTCAAAATAACAAAAGAAAAAAACTATAACTAAAATTTAAAGAAAAAGAAACACCACAACCCTAACAATCAGCCCACCCCCGAAAACATCTTCCGAAAAGTTGAATTCAAAATTTTCAAGAGACAGAGACCAAAAACTAAGAAAAATTATATATATATATAATAAATAAATAAAACTATTATAATGTGAGTGTTCAACCAAGGGCGGAAATATGAATTTTTCAACAGGTGGGCTAATTAAAGTTATTGGCTTAAAATCTGATGATAATTTTTCTTGTACTTGATAGTTTTTCTAGAAATAAAATATATATTAAAGCATATAAACCACGCTAGTTCATAGCTCCATTGACTAATTTTCAATAAGCTTTAACATAAAATAAATACATGTGAAATGCACCCAAAAACACACATAATATCAAAATGAAAATATGTTGAACAACATAATTGAAATTGTACATATTCAAGTTGTGCCCTATGATCCTTGAGAGAATTGAAATATTTTGTTATTGTGTATGAATCAATATTGTCAGCAAATTCTTTTTCAATGTAAACAATAATAGAAACGGCTATAAACTCATTCTTCGTATGAACCGCACCACACCCACCCTTTGTACTACCTAATTGAAAAGAGTGTCATTAATATTGACGAAAAAAAATTACGAAAACAATGGAAAAAAAAAAGGAGACTTTGGAAAAACACAAAGGAGAGAGAAATTTTGTAAAAGAAGCCAAAATAGACAAAATTGCCCTTATTTATTTTTGTATTTTCTAAAGAATCCTTTATATTTGCATGCCTTTGATTTGAAAGTTGAGAGGTTTTTCTGTCTTTTTTGAAAAAGCTTTGGCTTTTTCCAAAAGTGTAAATTTTTTTTTGGCTAAAACCTAAATTTACTATAAAAAAAAAGAAAAAAAAAAAGGAAAAGGTAGAGAGTTAAAGTCATGAGTGTTTACTAAGGGATTATTTCTTAATTGGGCAAGCAAATTAATCTAAAATCACATTAATATACATTTATTATATTTTAATTTTCAAAAAAGGCTAGAGCCCATGGTAGCCCTTAACTTGGTTTCGTGAGTGTGTTCAACTCGAAACAAATTTATAATTGGTGGAAAGGCCCAAGAATATTGAAACTATTAATGCAGAACTTTCATCCTTGACTGGAACACTGCCAACAAATTCACAATAGTTTCTGAAATTATGATTGAAATCACATGGGATTATCATATCAAATATTTCAACGAAGATAGTACATTTTCAAAAACTAATTCCATTGAATGGAGGATTTAACTCTCACACGCCTTGAGCAGTAAACATAAGACCAAGAGGGATGTCTATACATGGCAGGCAATACGGTTGTGTTCCTTACTTGGATAAATTTTGGACCTTGGGACAGACTCGTTGCTTAAATTGCTACTACCTACTCTCTTGTTCTTGTTTAAAATATCAGTAAATTTTGGTGCCTATATGGTTAACTATTACTAATCCTGAATTCCTGCAATTATCATGCTATTTTGCCTAAATAAGGGTTTGAGCTTAATTATGATATGTGTTAGTATGAAAATAGTGTTGTAATTTCATAGACTCTAGTTTAGGTTGAAAACTAGTGTGTGAAGAATTGTTACTGGACGTTTTGGCACAACTCATTCAACCCCATACATCCGATGCATGACTTGACCGATACGAGAAACTTGACTTAAGGTAAATCATACATTCATTATAGGATTCCTAGTTTGAGTTTTTTCACTCAAGTATTTTTATGTTAATCTTATTTTTAATAGGATTTGATTTTAGCTCTTGAGATTACCTTCCTAGTTGGACTCTATTTTGTTTTAAAGTTAAAATATCTTTTATCTAAAACTTGGCAAGCACTTCCTAGTTGTTTCATTGCTTTCATCTTGTTGTATATTGGTTCCTTTTATAAAAAGATGATATTAGGATGGTATTTGGGATACCATGCATAAAGCTGGCGTAAGTGATAGAATCAAAACATATCCATAATTGAACATTATTTGGTCTCCATGTTTTGACGTCTTTCACCAAGAGTCCTTATTGGATTACATTTGATAGGCATATTTCAATAGGATATGTGTTCATGTTTTTGGGATCTTTTACTGAGAGTCCATATTGGACGAAATTTGATTGTGGTGATTGAATAGGATTGGTGGACTCTTGTGCTTCTTTCTTACTAGAGAGAACACAGTTTTGCATAAAAGAGGTGTGCCTCTCTTTTGACAATCACAACTTTTGACATATTTGTGTGGAGCATAGAATTCTTAGGAAAAAGCTGCTGTGCATTTATTTGAGATAAATCATCAAGTGTTCTATGTTTACTTGGTGATTTATCAAACACTTTAATCATTCATATTGTATTCATATGCATTTCGGTGACTCATACGGTTGAGGACACCAAGATCGTTGTGGCAGTTTTTCTCCGGTGAGCTTGAATCGATTGTGACCAGTATCGGATTCAACATAAAGAGAGTTGGAAGAACTCTGACGAGCTTGAAGCAATCGTGACCAGTATTGCGTTCAACATAAGGAGTGCCAAAGATCATCCCGTGACAGAAGTTGAGTTACGAAGAAGTCGGTAAACATTATCTAGAATGTGTCTAGGATAAGTGTGTGAGTACTTCTTGTAATCATCGTTCTATAGTGGATTTGTGTTGGACTGAGGAGTCCCGTGGATTTTCCCCAGAGATGGGGTTTTACCACGTAAAATAATTCTCTGCATTTTCTTTTATTTTATGCTCAGCATGTTTCAGGATTGATAAGCCATACCAATCCTGTTACCGAAGTTTATTTTTATTTATTTGATTATAATCTTAAATTGGCATATTCACCCTCCTCTAGGCATTTTTAGACATCCTACATGTATTTTCAATATGATCTTGCTTGCTTGCTGCAATATCATCTTCTTTTTTTAATCAATGGGTATCCATGTGTAGACGACGGGATTTGGATTTTACCTTTCTTTAATATTGAGAATAAAGATAGTAGAAACACTAAAAAAGATTTCTCTCTTTTAAAAACAGTAAATCCCACATTGGAGAAGTATAATACTTGTGAAGTACTTAATATTGTTGACTCCTAAAATTTTGATTGCCGAGCCTAGTAACATATGCTTGTAATCCAATACGGGGGCATTAAAGGTGGAATGTGAAATTGGTCTTATTGAACACCTACGGCCCAATGCCCTAAGTTCAGCCCATTATTTAATTGCACTACTTAGTGGCCCAGCCACAAAAGTAGCTTTCTTCAAAGACACCATTGCCCAAGAATTTGTGGTGCCCTGTGCTGGTGGCTTATTTGTGGAAAGACAGTTTGGCTTATCAGAGCAACTGAGCCCACCCACTATGAACTTACTGGGCCAGGCTGAGGTGGTCCACTCTTGATTTGACCGCCACCTTTTTACAAGTTTTATTTTTAACTTAAATTTTAATAATTTTTATTTATTTAGCTTTCCTTTTTTTCCTATTTTTATGGCATTAAAATTTAATTTGTGTGGAGAGCAGACATCACGCTAGTGCCATCCATTAATTCAAGATCGGGAGGAAGGGAGTTGAATGCAAATACATCCTCTTATATCAAATTCAAATCATGTTACCTCTCTCAGGATTCCATGTCCCCCCAACTCAACCAACCCTAAATTTTAAGCAGACACATATGGAAAAGAACATTAGCCACAACTTCTTCAAGGTCTTATATTCTATCTTCTCACAAGACACAACACAACAAGAAGAAATGGCTTTCCACACTCGCTCCAACAGCTTCACCTCAAGGCCACACCCAATCGTTCAAGAAGTTGATGAACATTTGTGTAGACTGAGGTCTTCTGAGGCCACCTCCACATCCTCCACATCAATCAGCCACAAACTAACTGGCCTTCAAGACTTGCATGGTTGTGTTGATAGGTTGTTTCAGTTGCCTCTCACTCAACAAGCCTTGGCCCAAGAGCAGAATGAGAAATCGACTAATGAGATATTAGATGGTTCTCTCAGGCTCTTGGATGTTTGTAGCAGTGCCAAGGATGCCATGTTGCAAACCAAGGAATGCATACAGGACCTTCAATCGATATGCATACAGGACCTTCAATCGATCATGCGACGAACGCGCGGAGGTGAATCTGGAGCACTCACTGAGGCCAGGAAATACTTTACCTCAAGGAAGATTGGTGAAGAAAGCAATCCACAAGGCTATGATAAATCTCAAGGGATCCAGTTTCTCATCCCTCAGGAAAGACAATGAGACTATTGCCGTTGTTAGCACGTTGAGAGATAACGAGGCAGTCACTCTCTCAGTGTTCGAATCATTCCTGTCCTTCATCTCTGGTCCAAATTCAAACCCAAGCAGCAGCTAGTTATTGGTTGCTAAGATTATTCACACCAAAAGAGTAGCTTGTGAGGAAGAAACAGAAGCAAATGAATTTGCCCAAGTGGATGCTGCTCTGCAATCATTCATTAAGACAAGCAAATCTGACCACAAGAATGCAGTCGTCTATCATCTAGCAAAAAAAACATGGACTTGAATCTCACACGCCTCAGCCAAGAGCTAAAAAACAAGGTTTTGGTTCAATTGGGACAGTCTAGCGAGCCATGATGGATCCAAGTGACCACCGACCCGTTATCCTTCCACTACCAAGAGTGGGAGGTAGTCGTTGCTCTGTGAAGCCAGCCTTACGCGGTTCCCTCCGCTCTAGAAACCAAGTGACCCAGAGCCTTCGCTCGAGCCACAGGGTTCAACTCCTGGCTTGGAATGGGCGGACCAGTAGATAGCCAACCCGAACCCGAACCGCTAATACTGAGCCAATGTTCCAGCACCTCAAAGCCCCGACTAGGGTTACAAGCTTGCGTTACAAAACAAGGTTTTGGTTCAATTGGGACAGTCTAGCGAGCCATGATGGATCCAAGTGACCACCGACCCGTTATCCTTCCACTGCCAAGAGTGGGAGGTAGTCGTTGCTCTGTGAAGCCAGCCTTACGCGGTTCCCTCCGCTCTAGAAACCAAGTGACCCAGAGCCTTCGCTCGAGCCACAGGGTTCAACTCCTGGCTTGGAATGGGCGGACCAGTAGATAGCCAACCCGAACCCGAACCGCTAATACTGAGCCAATGTTCCAGCACCTCAGAGCCCCGACTAGGGTTACAAGCTTGCGTTACAAAACAAGGTTTTGGTTCAATTGGGACAGTCTAGCGAGCCATGATGGATACAAGTGACCACCGACCCGTATCCTTCCACTGCCAAGAGTGGGAGGTAGTCGTTGCTCTGTGAAGCCAGCCTTATGCGATTCCCTCCGCTCTAGAAACCAAGTGACCCAGAGCCTTCTCTCGAGCCACAGGGTTCAACTCCTGGCTTGGAATGGGCGGACCAGTAGATAGCCAACCCGAACCCGAACCGCTAATACTGAGCCAATGTTCCAGCACCTCAGAGCCCCCACTAGGGTTACAAGCTTGCGTTACGAAGCTCGGCGGTACATATACCTCGTGCAGGGTTTATAAAGCGTAGTGTGTGATACGAACCAAGCGATGTGGGACAAGTTGCACTCGCTTTGCCTCTTAAGATCAGATCTTGAATAAGCTCAGAATTTCGTATATACTTTTAAGTGGCGATTTTCTCCCAAGACCTTGCTATTGGTAACACTGGTTGGTGAAAAATAGTAACATCAGTTCAAACATTGACATAAACAATTTTCTCCCAGGAAACAGTAAACACAGATTGAAGTAAACATAAACATGGCAGACTCAGATCTCACACCCTTCTGATTATAATGAAAATTATGCTGCTTTTCTTTCTGTTTGCTAATTAACCAGCAACTCACCCTTTTTCAACATTATAGAAACACAATGGATGGTGACATTTTAATGCAGAATATTGCATATTTGCATATCATGCCTCCTCCTTGGGAAACAATCATGTGAATGAAGGACCTGCAAAACAAGATGAATTAAACTAATCATATGCGTTGATCAGCATAATTGAGTTAAATGGTTTTTGCCTCTCTACGTATTTGTGTAAATAGGGACGTCAACGCCACTCGTGGTATCATATATTAATTATGATTGATTAAATGGTTGTAGCATTTTAATGTGCTAAATTAATCAATTCATGAGTTGGAATGATGGGGTGGGAAGGGACACTGCATAAACATTGCTTAGGGAACATATAGATGCAAATCGAAATCATGTTACCTCTCACTGATGATTGAAGTGGATGAGATTCCATGTCCCCCTCTTCAATCAACACTATATATTAACCACTCTGAATTGTACATCAATCAAAAGTTTCTAAGTCTTCTCTTCTATCTTCTCACAACACACAAAGAAGAAATGGCTTTCCACACTCGCTCTAACAGCTTCCCTTCAAGGCCACACCCGATCGTTCAAGAAGTTGACGAACATTTGTGTAGACTGAGGTCTTCGCCTCCACATCTTCATCATCAATATGCCACAAACTAAGTGGCCTCCAAGACTTGCATGATTGTGTTGATAAGTTGCTTCAGTTGCCTCTCACACAACAAGCCTTGGCCAAAGAGCAGAATGAGAAATGGACTAATGAGCTATTAGATGGCTCTCTCAGGCTCTTGGATGGTTGCAGCAGCGCCAAGGATGCTATCTTGCAAACCAAGGAATGCGTACAGGATCTTCAATCGATCATACGAAGAACACGAGGAGGTGAATCTGGAGCACTCACCAGTGAGGTTGGGAAATACTTAACCTCCAGGAAGATGGTGAAAAAGATAATCCAAAAGGCTATGAAGAATCTAAAGGGAATCAACAGATCCACCTTCTCTTCCCCAAACCAGGACAATGAGTCTATTGCCATTGTTAACAAGTTCAGAGAAGTTGAAGCAGTCACTCTTGCAGTGTTTGAGTCACTGCTGCCCTTCATCTCTGGACCAAAATCACAGCCAAGCAGCTGGTCATTGGTCTCCAAGATGATGCACTCCAAAAAAGTTGCTTGTGAGGAAGAAACAGAAGCCAATGAATTTGCACAAGTGGATGCTGCATTGAACTCACTCATTGGACACAAGACAAGCAAAACTCAAAACAAAAGTGTCGAAAATGCGCAGAACCAGCTTGAGAAGCTGGAGTCATGCATTCAAGACCAAGAAGAAGGAGTTGAGTGCCTATTTAGGCAATTGATCAAAACAAGAGTCCCCCTCCTCAACATCCTTAACCACTAGAGAGCTATTAGCTTTTTCGATTCTGTACTTGAAAAACATACATGTGCATACTACAAATACATCTTTGATATCAAATTGATACAATCTATTGAGTAAATTGATAAACTTATTCCACAACAATAATGAATTTTTTTCTCTGTTTTTCAAGATTGAATTCTAAGTTTAAGTCACGTTCATCATAAAAGTAGTTACAGAAATAAATATTAAGTTAATAATCATCAAGATTTAATATCAGAGTTCAGAGCTGTCAAGATTCTTCTTGTGTTGAGAAAAATTATCACAGAGCTGTCAAGATTCACTCACCAAAGTTGAATGGCATTTACATTAAAATATGAACAGTGATTATATACGTGTTAAGCAATGGAAACAGTGCTGGCTAGTTTTCTGTTGCAGGGACAATAGAATCAATTACCAATCTCATGATGTTCCTCCACATCATGGAAAACGCATACTAAACTCATCTTTGTTGTTTTTGTCTGCCTCTTGCACAACAATCAACCTTAGGGGTTTGAAGATTTTAACAAGCAAACCAGCTTCAAAAAAATATGGTGAACCTCCATGAAATGGGCCAAACCAAGGTTCAAATGGTTTTAAACACTATTGACAGTTCATCTTGATAAAGAAAGCCCAAATCCACTCAAAACCCAAGTGAGAATTTGTGATTTTGTTAGAGAATATAGGTATGAGATGGAATGATTCCCAAGTATATGCCAAATCATATGCTTAATAAATGATGTCACCCATTATGATATTGGGGGTGGGAGATGGGGCATTTCCAATAGAAAAAATTATATGAAACAAGGATAATACTATTTTGCTATCTCTGGCCAATCACACTATGCCAAGTGGAAAAATTATCACGCGTGGCATAACGTGATTAGTCAGGGATAGAAAAACAATGATATCCCCGTTGCACACTAGTGTTTCTTCATTTCCAACCTTGAAGCTTATTTTATACTTCTTTAATGCCATTGTTTGTCCCTAAAAGACTTGTACCTCAAGTGATTAATAACAGTTATTTTGCACCCGAAGTTTTAAGTTTGAATCCCCTCTCTCCCTTTATTGCTCGTATAAATAAACAAATGTTATTGTTTGCCCCCTTTTGGCTTTGCAAATTACACTCTGAATCAAAGACATGGAAATTCAAAAGGAGCTATGCAAATATTGGGTTGACAAGGATCCTAAGCCGGAAATTGCAATTGAGATGGAAAAGGTAAAAAAGATGATTTGATTTCTGTCAGCCAAGACAAAATGAAATCACGTTCCTTAATTTTGCTTAATTAGAAACAAACATACAATTTATTTGCAGCAGACAAGCACGAAGTCATTTTCGTAGTCCTAAGTTGTGTCCAAGATAAGGATAATACAATAATTCACACGTTCATTTTGGACATCAATTCATTATCATTAAAGTTCTCTCCAAACACCCTTTTATTAAAATTTGTTTTGGTCTTTAGTCTGTAACACTTGTGCATTTTATAGAGCAGGAACTTGGATCAATAGGTAATTAAAGTTGTCCAAGTGCAAGGCATCGAAACCTTCTCAACTTCGTGATGAATTATTGGTGTAGTTGGATAGGAATGAACTATGTTCCTTGCCACATACCGAATTCATTTTAGCGATTATTAATCGGCCTATATCTCTCTTGAGCGAAAATGAATCCACTTTCATCCCTTTTTGCCGATGGCCCTGTCATTGGCCTCGCTAGCAAAGCGACCCCCACTCCCCCTTTTTTTTTTTTTTTTTTTTTTTTTTTTTTTTTTTTTTTTTTTTTTTTTTTTTTTTTTTTTTTTTTTTTTTTTTTTTTTTTTTTTTTTTTTTTTTTTTTTTTTTTTTTTTTTTTTTTTTTTTTTTTTTTTTTTTTTTTTTTTTTTTTTTTTTTTTTTTTTTTTTTTTTTTTTTTTTTTTTTTTTTTTTTTTTTTTTTTTTTTTTTTTTTTTTTTTTTTTTTTTTTTTTTTTTTTTTTTTTTTTTTTTTTTTTTTTTTTTTTTTTTTTTTTTTTTTTTTTTTTTTTTTTTTTTTTTTTTTTTTTTTTTTTTTTTTTTTTTTTTTTTTTTTTTTTTTTTTTTTTTTTTTTTTTTTTTTTTTTTTTTTTTTTTTTTTTTTTTTTTTTTTTTTTTGTTAAATTATCCTTGAATGCTTAACCTACAAATCCCTTACCATTAAAAAGTATATTTTTGTGTTGAATACTATGGTTGTGATGATATGCTTGTGAGGTCTACCAACAAATTGTCCAACAAATTTCTTAAATAAGAAGGCAAAAAGAGTTTTAGAAAATAGTTTCTTACTATTAGCATATTTTTGGCTTTTCAATCCTTTTGTTTTTTTTGTTTTTTTATTTTTTGTTTTTTTGTTTTTTTTATGCCAAGGCTTTTCAATCCATATTATCTTCATATCATTTTACATAAGATGTTCAAAAGTTTATGAAGAGTTGATGGAAAATAAATCACATAAATTTTCTTACAAGATCAAACAGCTACTACTCATATATTTTGGCTTGAATATTTTGGACATACATATATTTTGGTTGTGGTCCTTTAATTATATTCCAGGCCAGAATGGCACACCAGTGGCTGGAAGCCAAAACTGTCCCTGAATGAATTTATTAACTGAGAAAGGGCTAGCCTCCTGAGGACTATTGAGCACATGAAATCCAGGCCACTTAACCCTCTGTTCAGTTGATGCCCCAGTCCCTGTATTCATGTACTCCCCATAGAACAATGTTGAAAGTCCATAGCTGCCCCTCCATTCTGTCCACCCCTTTGGATCAATCAAGCCATCCAGGTCAGTTTTCATAAACACAGTCCTTGAAAACCTCTTCCATGGCCTGCCCAAATAGCTCCTAAATGAGCCCGTGACCCTTGCAAACTCTGGTGCAGGTCTAACGCGACAACCATGGATTACAATCCCTGTGGTCACCAATTCCTCGTCGCGGCCTTGCGCAGTGATCATGTTCGATTGGGAGTTCATTGGCCTCCTCACAAAAATGTCACAATTTTGTAACACCGCAATGGCGTTACCGAATATGAAATCAATCGTGCCGTATATTTGACAGTCGCGATAAAATTGCCTATTCGCGTGGACATACAGTGTGTCTTGGTACCCTTTGATGCTGCATCGGTAGAACACTGTGACGTCTGAGCTCACCCTCAGTGCCACTGCCTGGTGCATTTCGGGACCCGCCGTGTTCTCAAATGTTATGTCCCTTGCCCAAAAACCATCCCCTGATACACCTGCCAAATGTATTCATAGCCAACCAAATAATCAAAACTCTAAACTTATTTATTTGCATTATCGTCCGTGAAATTCATGGTCACCAGGATCAAAATCTAACACCAGCCGTGAACCTCTAAATTACTTACCGAATGTAGCTGAGTTTCGAGTTGTTAAACCTCCGCGATAGCTGAGACTACCGGTGACGATAGTTTTGTCAATGCCAGCACCAACAAGCATCACATTTACTATATTTCTATGAAGCTCCACCTTCTCTTGATACACACCGGGTTTCACATAGATTATGACTCTTGGGGGTCGCCTGTGACCCAAGCGAACAAGTGCAGCTACAGCCTCATTGATTGTTCTATGTGTTCCTGAACCATCTTTTGCCACCACAAAATCAGCCCTGGATGTTCCTGGACTCCATGATACTAAAAGACCTTCATTTTGCTTGGGCTTGGGTTTTTGTTCCGTTGGTGGTACTTCTGTAAAGGCATCACAAATTATCAGCCCTAGCCCAACTCTTTTGCTCTTCAATTCATCATTTATTTATGAAAACCTAGAATTTAATTCAATATGCACAGGTGGAGGAAGCCTAATCAAATTATGTGGAGCTAAATCAAGAACATTGAGTATAAACTGAGCTTCTAACTACAAAATTAAAGATGAATAAACTTACAAAAACTCTGTTTGCGAACAACTGTTTTCACCTATTTTAGCAAGCTTTACCTGAAAGTATTAGGCTTAAAGATGGATTTATATAGAGGAATTCCTATTAGATCGATGCAATCAAGATGATACATCATTAATTATGTTTTTTGATCCTCGGAAAATATATATTCATGTTAGACAATATGCTCTAACTCAAATCACATTAACTAGGGTGTCAAAGGATAGAAGTTTTGTTCTAATAGTTAAATTTTTTTATCTCTCCACCTGTTGTTTATTTGTTTATTGGTTTTGAGCTGATAATCACATTTGTAATATCGTATGAAATATCATATTTTTTACATTTTAGGTATAATGACTACACGTGCTCAACTTCATCCAATAATATATATTATTCAAATATTTAGCTTGAGTGACTCTACACGTAAGTGACACATTAAATAATGAAAGTTTCGCCTTAGTCTTTAAAATATTTTAAGCCTCCATTAGAAAATGGTTATCATTGCCAAATATATTAATTTAATGATACTTACTCTTACCCTCATGCATACCCTTCCCATAGAAAGCAAGAGCTTCACCAAGCACAATAGTCAAGTTTTCTGCCACGACACGATGCTCATCAGTCTTATTGAAACCCTTCTCATCCAAGCCATCCAAACAAGTCCTCTGGTTGGCAAGCACCCCACTGAGCCATGTTCGTGCGTCATCACCACTATAACTCTCATTGTTGGACAGCAACACCATGAGCCTAGCCGCACTCTCATCATATAGTTGAGCACAGTCTCTCAGAGCCACATCACCATCATTTGAAATATCATCGCTGCCCAATTCATGTAATTTAATTGAACTCTGGACCCAATCTGTGGCTTGAAGAACCCTATCTAGGGCAAGCTGAATTGGGTTTGGCTGTTGGAGGCAGAAGGTGGAGGCAGCCATGGCTAATAAGAGGAAGAAGGTGGTGATGACTACAGAAGTGGACATTTTTGCTCAATAAAAAGTTACAGGAATTGATTGAAGAAGGGTGATGAAATGCATGAGCTTATTGTTCTGTTGATTAATTTATAGATGGATGAGGAAGCAACCACATGGACTTTTGTAGACAAGTGTCTTTGTGCTGAGGTGAGGTGGACTTTGAGAAGAGAGTTTACTCAGTGACTTTGAGGTGTCCTGGAAGAGAGCAGTGACAGTTGTACGAAGGGCCAGAGAGAAACTAGCTTGAAATGCACTTCCATCCCGAATTTTATGCGATTGTTCACGATCTTATTATAATTATGTATCTCACTAAAGAAACCCAACAACAAAGTATATTGCCACCTTTTCATATTATGTAATTGGGACAGCACACTGTGAGATATCCTAAATGCAATCGTTCACACTCGTAATCGTAAGAGTGTTTAGAAAACATTAATTGATGTAGTGTGAGTCGTTAATGCATGATCCACGTGCATAAATTCTTTATATATCATTGAGATGCACATATCAATTCTTCGTGCGCATTTCTTCCAAAAAATTCCTTCGTGTGCATTGACGACGAATGTAAATATATATTATTTTTAAATACAATCAGAAGTGTATTGATTATCAATCATCTAGATGTGTGCAAATCAACAACTATAATTTGCATTAAATCTTAATCCATGTCTTTAATCAAAGATAGACTTAGGTTGGGCATTTATGAATCATGATGCTCCTCCTTCTGGGATTCATTTTCTTTGGAAGTTAAGTCGTGTTCGATAGAGAAGAGAAGGAGCCTGAAACAACGTGGTGAGGAAACAAGTGAGTAGAGGTTGATTTGGCAATGTCAGAGAAGAGCTAGGTGCCATGCAATAATTAAGTAACGTTTCGATTAATGTCTATGAGTTGCATGTGACGGCAGCATGCAAAGTTTTATTACATCCTTAGGTAAATTTGCTGCCTTCTGCTGACGGCAGTTTTAGGTAGAAAACAAATTTCAATCAAAGCAGTGAAAGTGATGGATTCATTACACCTTAATTTCTGTTTTCTGCGAACATGTGCATTCTGGATCAAGCTTGGACATCATCATGTGACTGTATATATGTAAAATATACAAAATTACAAAAGCGAACGAAAGTACCAGAATGCCCTCAACTTCATCCGGATCTAAATTAAAAGGGGCTTCGGTTTGGACAAAATTGCAAAGCTTTTGGGCCTGCTCTGTGCTCCAATATGGATTCTATTTCCCATTTTTGGGCCCTTCTTATATAAATTTCCAATAAATGTTGCCCAAAATTTACCCTCATTTTCACAGAAAAAGTCATAAATTTGACGGCAAGAAATAACAGTATAATAGGATACATAATTGGGACCCTGTAACTATTTTTGGAGTTGAGTGACCAAAATGTAAGTGCGGCATAGGTCAGGCCCCATTGCTACAATTAAGCCAAAAATATAATTCAATCTCTTCAAACATGTTGAGGTTCTTCAGCCAGCATAACATATCAAACCAAGCTGATTATAAATCAATTTCTTGACCACATTTTATGAAGTGCATTGGCATGGCATGAATGAACAATAACATCCAAATCAAAACGAAAATCCAACCAGAAGATTTATAGAAGAAGTCTCTATGGCATCAACAATCAGAATTTGAATTTCCAATGGTTTTCATGATCACAGTTAGAAAAACTAAACTGAACTGACACTCGCAGTCGAAATCAGAGGAGTTTGACACCGGCTTCCACCACACTGTCAACGACAGCTTTAACCTTACCATGATATTTCTGTTCTTTCTTCAACTGGACGGATACAGCAGGGATGTTCTTGAGCAGGAGGCGCTCGCCCAATATCTTCCCTATCTTTGCAGCAGCAGCAACGTCGCGGCGTATCTCCATGCTTTCTCTCAAGGCCTTTTCCTGGGAGCTTGCAGAAGAGGCTACTGTGGCGGTTGGTGTGTGGATTACTTGGGCAGTTACGAATTTGTTTGTAAAGTGCATTTTCAGAACATAAGGCTTTAGATACTTTATGATGCGCGGTGGCCTCACCGGAGGAATGCCCATCTCTCTCTGCAAATAAGTCACAAGTCTAAGATTGGGGAGGCCCCTGAAAAACTAAAGAAGAAACCAATTTAAAAAAAAACAGATTAAGAACAAAATCAATATCAAACAATGTAATTCAATGTGAAAAACACAACAATATAACCAAATCAACAGCAGCTCGAAAACCCAGGTATTAAATTTATCAGAAAATAACATCAAAACGCACAGACCCTACACAACCAGAAAGCAAGAATACAGAAACACAAAATATGACAGAGAAGCCGAAACCAGTGCAGCACAACAAGAGAATATTACAGGGGGAGAAATTACCTCAGATTTGGATTTGGATTTGGATGAGGATTTGATTGGCTTGGGTTTGGCGGTGCGGAGAAGATGCTAGAAGGATCGGGAGAGAAGCGCCGGCTTGATAGTGGATGAGTCGGCGAGAAGAAAGGAAGAGGTGGAAATGCAGAGAAGAGAAAGCTATGGAAGAAAAAAAAATTATATGAAAGAGAGAGAGGGTGATGATGGACGGCGCACCGAAAAAGAAAGGGTGGGTTTTTCGAAACCTCCTGGATCTTTTTATAAAATATAGCCGCGCGGCTATATGTTTAAAATTCCTATTTATGGCGTCTAGCCGCGCGGCTATACTTGCGACAGTTATATTTACGGTGTATAGCCGATCGGCTATATGTTTAAAATTCCTATTTATGGCGTATAGCCGTTCGGCTCTACTGGTAAATTTCTATTTAAAGAGTATAGCCGAAATTTCTATTTAAATAGTATAGCCGCCCGGCTATACCAGTAAAATTTCTATTTAAAGCGTATAGCCGGCCGGCTACACCTTTAAAATTTCGATTCAAATAGTATAACCGCCCGGCTATACTTTTAGAGGTTTTTATAAATAAAAAAATTATATATATATATATAAACTTAATATCTTTAGGTCAATAATTTTTTTATTTTTTATTTTTTGTAATGAAATAATATCTTAGCCTTATTAATCACTTTTATTAGTAATTATATTTTAATTAATATTTTGTTGGTTAATAATTAGTATTAAATATTTCAATTAACTTCATAAATTACATTACTTGATAAATAGTATTTATTTCTTTTGAGTCCCATGCAACCCATTAGGTGGTAACACTCTTTTTATCGCTAATTGAATTTGCTTTACCATGTATTGGATGATGCCCGACTGCAGTAGTAAAACGGTAACCTAAACGTAGCATGTACAACGCTATGTAGAGTACGAATTGCAAGCTCAATGTAACAAAAAATGTAATGGAAAAATATAGTTGCTTCAGAGAGTTCCAAAATGAGTTCCAAAAGGTGATTGACAAAACTTTGTTTGGCAAAACTTTCACACCAAAAACAAAACAAAAACAAAAACAAAACACAAAAAAAAACCTCATAAAAACAAATAATATAAAGACAAAAAACTAAAATCTAAAAGTTTTGATGTACCAGAGTTTTTATCTTTGGTTTAAATTTTGATATACCAGCATGCCAGTGTACCATAGAAGTTGCCCAACTTTAGATGCAATACAAAGTCAACAACTAGTTACTTGTAAGGCCAACGTCAATTTAATTAGTTATTTACGGATTATATTGTTGATTATCTCTCTAATAGAGGTGAGATCCATTGGTGTATGTAGGACTCACTTGTAGGCTGTATTAGTAATGCATTCAACAATATGATCCGTAAGTGTGGTCCAAATAGCTATAGATTGCTAAATGAGAGGGAGTCAAATCCCAATTTGATTACTTAGTTTTTAGACAATAGTTCGTTATGCATGGTTCTATTCTATCTAATCCAAACCAACGTGAAGAAACTTCATGACTGGGCCAATCCACTATAGAATTATGCCGGCCGTCTCTCATTTATTCCGTTTTGTTTCTTGGGGGTCAAAGTCAAGAAATCTGATGTTCGTGATCTTCCGTCTGTCCATTGATTTGCGCCTAAAGAGCAACCATTATTTGAATGACCAAATTCAAAAGCAACTTCTGATGGCAGTAAGTCAAAACTTAATAACATAGTAAAATAGGAGACTGGAAATATAAATAAATATATACGTATATTGTTTGACAAAATTTTCAAAAGTGCTGTGAATATAATAACGACAGCTATCTTATTGTATCTCCGAAAAGCGAACGGAAAACGAAAATATTATTGACAATTCGACTTAATATCATTTATATGTATGCACATATGATGGCAGTAATGACATACAATATACGATCAAAAATTCCAGTCAACTTTAAATTAACGACATATATATATATATAAATTTTTTTTTCATTTCAGCTGGACTTGAAGTTTGGAATACAACAAACAAGGTAAGCTTATTTTAATTTCTATATAGGATATTAGTCATGATCACCCAATAACCAACACTAACCGGATAGAAACGAATATAATTGATATTAGAGAATTATAGCTTCCAATACAATAATTCCATTTATAATTTTATTGCATTAATAATTCAAATTAGACCATCATATTTGTCAATTGGTGGGGGGGGTTGTTTGTCTTGAAAGAATGCATGACGGACTATTATTCTTCAATGAATTAAGTAGGTTGAATTGATTTTTGCATGTATATTTTGACTAACTATTTACTATATATATATATATATATATAAGCGAGTATAGAATTTTATTTGAATATATTTGTCCAAATGAAAATCTGGCAACAATAACATATCTAGAAAGACAATATTAGAATCACTGAAGTTCTCATGTCATAGGTATCGATAACTGCCTCTACATATTACTAATGATTTTAATATGTAATTGCATTCTAAATTCAGTTTTTTTACAAGCTAAAATTGGATAAATTGAAGACCAATACAATTTTAACTTAACTATTAATCAATATGAGGAGAGTCAACGGGATCTAGCCCAGTGAAAAAAATTTTTGACTTACAAACTAGTGATCTTATATTCGAATTCTTCGAACTCTCATGACACCTTTGATTGTGTGCATGTTTGAGAATTCCCCCTCCTTTTATAGTTTAAACTATCGCTTGTACTCAAACTATTAACCAATATGAGAGAGATAGTAATACGATGTTTATTAAATATGGTCAATTATTCAACAATTTCATTGGGTCCTTGAAAAGTTGGCAAAAACATCAACTATACCACTTTATAGATTGTCAACGACCAGCTTGTGTCCATCAAGGTAGCTGGACCAACCGTGAACTCCTAAATCTATCCGTGTGCTTTTAGAATATAGGCTCTTGCAATTGCGTGTGGGACAATTGCAACCCCCGCCACCGTTTCCCTTCTATATATAGAACCCAATTAAGCTAAGCCATGCACACCATATTCAAACACGAAAGCTCATATAGCTCTAGTCTCCCAAATCGCCCATATTTCATACACATTTATTGATCAAAAGCCATCCAAAAATGCCAATTCGATTTCACTCAACACTTTTCTTGGTGCTTTATCTCTTTCCAATCACATTTGGTTACTCTCCAAATGATGCGAAAACATGGTGTAGCCAAACTCCTCACCCAAAACCATGTGAGGATTTTCTGAGCCATAACCCAACAACAACCCCCATCAAAGAAAAATCCCAATTCTTCAAGATATCAACCCAACTAGCCCTAGACCGTGCCATCCATGCTCAAACCAACATGTACTCATTTGGCTCATCAAAGTTCCAAAATGCACACGAAAAAACTGCATGGGATGATTGCCTTGAGCTCTTTGATCTCACAATCCAAAAGCTCAACAAAACCGTAAATCCCACCACCAAGTGCACCCAAGATGACAGCCAAACATGGCTGAGCACAGCTCTCACAAACCTAGAGACATGTCGAGAAGGGTTTGCAGGCCTTGGGTCTCAATAATTATATCTTCCCTTCAATGTCAAATAATGTTTTCTAATTTGATTAGCAACACTTTGGCCATAAACAAAGCTCCATACACTTCTCAGCCAAACTACAAAAATGGTTTCCCAACTTGGGTGAAGCCTGGCGATCGAAAGCTCTTGCAGTCGTCTTCGGCGAAGGCTGATGTTGTGGTGGCCAAAGATGGGTCCTGGAATTACAAGACCATAAGTGAGGCAGTAAGTGCAGCGTCAAAGAGAAAAGGTAGTGCAAGGTATGTGATATATGTGAAGGCAGGGACATATAAGGAAAATGTTCAGATAAAGTCGAAGAATATCATGTTGAGGGGAGATGGTATAGGGAAGACTATTATCACAGGAAGCAAAAGTGTTGGTGGGGGTTCTACAACCTTCAATTCAGCTACAGTTGGTAAGTAAAATTAGCTATTTTCTAAGTGTTTTTTTTATATTTACTCTCTCTCATTTATATGTACATGCTTGAATCTGAATTTATGTATAGCTTAGTGATCTCTCATTAAAGTTGATTTTTATATAGTTTTAGTCCATTCACTTTTTATATGAACAAATGAATATATTGTATGGTTCGATTGTAAATCCTATTATGAAGTTGTTATTGGTACGTAATCCAGAAAGATGATCATGCACTCCTTCGAGTTAAAATTTACCCTATATTTATTCATACATAATATACTAAACTTTGTTTTGAATTATGAGTTGCATGTAATATGTTGCTTATAATATATATTTTTAAATGCCTATGAGATAAGTTAAAGAATGATTAGAAGCCTTATTACTAGCTAGGCAGGCTTTAAAATCCATTCGTTGACTTGTACACAATCTGTTTACTTTCACTGGTGTTCGAAAATGATCGACCAGGCCAATTAGATAATGTGACAAGACAAAGTCGACTAATTTAAATGTGTTCATTAATCATTTGGGACCGAACCGTCTTTATCTTGTTTCTACCAGCCTTAGATTGAAGGTCCAAAAAGGCAGTCAATGTGTAAAGTACTTTTAAAGCAGGGATTATTAATTACTATTAGCTAGTTGGATTCTTAGAGAGCTGGTCCACTTTGAGAAAGTGGCTAGATTACTTTTTTTTTTGGTCGTTCAATAGGGAGGGGATGAGGGAATATTATATTGAGTCGTTTCTAGATTGTCTTCCACGTATTCGGATATACTTTGCGGGGAGAGGGAGAGTTTGACTCATTTTTCCACTGTAGTGCCACCTCATGTGCGGCTAGATTACTTTATTATATGGAAAATGTTATTCATATAAACACTAATTTTATGAAAATTGTTGAAAATATAAATTGATATAGGGGTTAAGTCATAATGCTGACAATTATTTTGGTCTTAAACTAAGACTTGTGAACCTCAAGTTGCCCACAACAAATTGTGGTTGAAAATATATTTTGTTTTCCTTTGTTTTCATAATATTGGTCAAAGAATATTTGCAAAGTCAGCAATGCGTCAAATTTCATGTAATTTTAATGTTGTTAATTGTCAACTTGTCTTACAAAGTTAACTCTCTAAATTAAAATTCATGACATTCTTTTCTTTGTTTTGATTCATTTTAGCTGTGGTTGGAGATGGGTTCATTGCCCAGGACATTACATTCCAAAACACTGCTGGTCCAACAAGCGGCCAAGCCGTGGCACTCCGGTCCGGTTCAGATCTCTCTGTTTTTTACAAATGTGGCTTTGAGGGGAACCAAGACACCCTCTATGTGCTGCATGTGTGATGAATTTTTATACCTAACATGAGGACTTAAAAAAAAATCTCTCTCTGCTAGTCCCCAACCCTTCAGCGCCGCTCTTGGGGGGGAGGTGGTCTGCCCCTCCTCCCCTCCCCTCCTCTTCCTCCTGTTTTCCCCTTCTCTCTTTTCCCTCCTCTTCCTTTCTCTCTGTTTATATTTCCTTGTTTCCTCTTCACCCTCCGTGGTGATTTTGCCTCACCCCCCGTGGTGATTTTGCTCACCCTCTGTGGTTCCCACCCAGAATGGGTTGTTTTTCCCCTGAGCTCTGTCTCAGATCTGGGGTTTCTTGCCTCCACTTCGGTTTCCTTTAGTCTTTTTCTGTTCTTCCTCAAGTTAACCCTACCCTGTGAGACCCTTTATCTCCCATCTATCCATCTCCTTTCTTCCCCAGCCACCTTCACTTTTCACCCTCCACTTCTTACATCCACACTCTCCTCATCTCTTCTATGTAGTGATGCCGTTCATACATGGCCAGCAATTTCATCTGGGCGCCAGTTCTCAACTACCACCGTTTGCCTCTCGGTTCCTCATCCACCGCTCCCGTTGTTCTTCCTCGGTGGTGTGTGGTGGTCCGTGGCTGCGATTAAAGTGCATCATGCACTTAACACTTGGATTATGGGAGCGCTTCCGCGCGGGTGGCCTGCTCACCCCCATCTTCCGTTGGCCTCTTTGATACCCCCTGGTGTCGGTACTCCTCCTTGGTGGTGGCAGATCTGTTCCTGGTGGTGTTGTCGGCATGCTATGTGTGGCTGCTCTTGTGTTCTAGATCTAGGGTTTCTTTGTTTAATATTTTATGGGTTTCTGCTGTTTATTTGCTTTTCTATCCTTGGGCCTGTTTTATTTGTTGGTATTGGGCTGCATTGGAAATGAGTTTCCTCAATTTGTAATGCTTTCCACTATTAATGAATAGTATTCCCTGACCAAAAAAAAGACACCCTCTATGTGCACTCTGACAGACAATTCTATAGGGAATGTGACATCTATGGAACTGTTGACTTTATTTTTGGCAATGCTGCTGTGGTTTTTCAAAACTGTAACATTTATGTTCACAACCACAAAACCAACACCGTCACTGCTCAGGGCCGGTCCGATCCAAACCAAATACAGGAATTTCTATTCACAATTGTAAGGTTACAGCTGCTTCGGATTTAAAATCGGTTCAAAGTTCGGTTAAGACATACCTAGGAGGCCATGGAGGGAGTATTCTCGAACCGTGTTCATGAAGACATACCTTGATAGCTTAATTTGACCCCAGCTGGTTGGATGGAATGGAGTGGTAACTTTGCCTTGAAGACTTTGTATTATGGTGAGTACATGAATACAGGCCCTGGTTCATCCACTTCAAACAGGGTCAAATGGGCAGGTTACCATGTCATTACAAGTGCCTCCGAGGCTTCCAAATTTACTGTTGGGAACTTCATTGCGGGTAATTCTTGGTTGCCAGCCACCAATGTGCCTTTCACCTCTGGTCTATGATTAATTACTGTTATTTTTTGGAACATAAATAAATTGATTGTTGCCCCCCAAAAACTAAGGAATTAATTTAGGGCATTCAATGGTTAGGTTACGATTGTGCTTTCTAATTTAATTATTAATTTGGAATTGTGTCAATGACTCAATTGTCATTCTTTGTAATTTGTTTTATAAGAATTTATAATTGTTAAGGTTCTTCTCATTCCTGTGCTTCTGCAATTTGGATAATCTTGTACATTATGTTGCTTCTTGTTTGGGTGTTATTTTATGGTTATATTATTAGTGACTTAATTGACCCAAAAAAATATATTTATTAGTGACTTAATTTGTAATCACAACATCACCAACATATAGAATAATTGTACCCTTAATACTTGTTTGATCAATTGCCAAATGGAAGGAAAAAAAACTCCTCGCTTAAAATATTGTACAACTTGCTCAAGGAAACCTAGGGGAAAAGAGAGATGTTTAACTTGTTTTTAGTAGCAATAGTCTAAACTACATGGGAGGGGATTTCTCACACACAAACAACCAGGATGTCATGGGGGTTCGAACTTGAGACTTCTCTAATATGCAAATCAAGACTCTTTTCCACTGAGTTAGACCCCGTTGACGAGATGTTTAACTTAATAATAACATAAAGGACATATCAAACCCTACTAAATGATGTGTCAAACTGATTGAATAAGTTGCACACTGAGGTGACATCAAAATGACAAGAGGACTTGGTCAATTGCTTCGATTCAATGCTTGAATCTTTTTCTAATGAAGCTTCTACCTAATGAATTAACTCTGCCTGTTCTAACTAGGCCTGGGCTCGATTTGGGTTGGTTCGGTTTTGGCCTCAACCCGAACACCGAATCGTAGGCTTCGATATGGCTATTTTGAAAACCGAAACCAAACCCATAATTGATGAAACCGACCACTTTCAGTTAATCGGACTTGGTGGTTTGGTTTGGTTCAGTTTCAGTTTTTTTGGCTTTTTGAGAGAGAGAGAGAGAGAGAGAGAGAGAGAGAGAGAGAGAGAGAGAGAGAGAGAGAAGAAGAAGAAGAGAAGAGAAGAAGAAGAAGAAATAAAAGCGATGGAGAGGAGAAGAAGAAAAAAAAGGAGACGGGGAGAGGGAGTGAAGACATATATAAGAAGAATGAGAAGAAGAAAAAATAGAGAGAGAGAGAGAGAGAGAGGGACAGATGAAGACAAGACAACGAGAGATTGAGAGAGAAGAAAAAGAAAAGATTGAAACTATGTATTATATATATATATATTTCTTATAATAATATTATATAAAATATTTCAAAAGAAATATTTTATTTTGATAAATTGATACATTTAATAAGGGTAAACTTGAAAAGCAAAAGTTTAGCTTGTATAATATATTGATGACATTGTTTTAAGTGTAAAGAGAATGACATATGTCAAGCAAAAATGGAGAAGGTCCAAAGGAAAAGGTTAGAAAGAAGGTTGCTAGCATTCCCACAAAGACCACCAAAGTCTTTCTAGATCTCACCATAATTTGATGACTCCATGCATAGATGGGCCCCACTTTATTCCCGACAACGTGTTCGTGTGTTCCTGAGTAGATTTGTTTGTGTTGTGGGATCAGGATCTTAGTGTGGCCGTGAGACTTTTTACATTAAGATTTATCACCTTTGAAGGCAATCAGGAACCATGTATATGCTCAGTTTACTCTCTCTCTCTCTCTCTCTCTCTCTCTCTCTCTCTCTCTCCATCATTCACTATTCGCAAACTATAAAACCATTATTTGTCATTTTATATTAGAAAGTTTAAAACTATTTGTATCATTTCAATCAATCATTGTGCGTATGTATCACATTTTTAATAAACATATGATATATATATATATATATATATATATATGTTGAGAATCTATTTTATGATGGTCATCATCACTACTAAAAAACTCACACTAGATACTAATTTTTATTTGTCCCCTAAGTTGATTTTTGGGACAATAAATTAAATTCTCTCCACCAACAATAGAGACTAAGTAGCCAACATTGTTTTATCAGTTTCCGTGTGGTTATTGCTTATAGGGTACTACTATTTAGGGAGTCAGTCCTTCCCTAATTTTCCTTAAACAAATACCTAATTTTCAAGCCATTTCCAAGGCTTGCCCACTGCTATTTGAAATGTGTCTACCTTATTAGGGACGCAGCATATCAGTATGCAATTGTGTACTAACAATACAGATCAATATGCATCATCCCAGGCACGTTCCATTGTGGAGGCTGGAGGAGCTGTTTCTCATCTGCTCCGTTCCAACTATTTTATTTTGTAGATTGATGGTCTTCTCATCTAGACGACTCAAGAGAATAGTCCAATGAACACTTTTCAAAAGTCACTCCACATTTGATGCTTGATCCTCATCTAGTCTTGTCTTGCCTACAAAAGCATATGCTTTCTTTCACTGTGCAAGACAGGAAGAGAGAAAGAGGGGATGAACCAAAGAAAAGAAGAGATTTTGGAAGAAATAGCCAAAAAGATTCAATGCCATGGCCACAATTCCATCCATCATCATCTACATCACTCTCCTCAGACCAAGAAAAAAACATTGACCACCAAAGTCTTTCTAGTCTCCTCACCATAATTTGAGACTCCATGCATAGATGGGCCCCACTTAACTCCCAACAATGATGTCATCTTTCCCCAAGTAGGTTAAAAAATATGATTAACTACACTTTAGTCTCTGAGGTTCAGTGTAGTATCGAAATGGGCCCCAAAATTTCATTTTAATCAATTTCGTACCCACATTTCGAAATATTACCAATTTACACAAGACATTTACACTGACCGTCAAAGTCAGACGTTAAATGCTGACGTGGCAGTCGTGGGACCCACCTCATAACCAAACAGCAGTTAGAAAGAGACGAGATGAAGGGCAATTTCAAAAAAAACAAACAAACAAACACACACAGTCGGCTTTGCACGCGTTCCAAGGCGTATTTCGATTACCATGCTTGGAAAAATCGAACAAACTCAGTTTCTGAGTTGTGTTCTTGTACTGAGACAGACATAGAGGAGAGGGTTTAAGGGTTTGTTCGTGTTTTGGAGTGCAAACATTTGAAATAGACTTCAAAAATCATACTGAAACGGAGGTTTCCGAAAGATCTGAAGAATATGAGTTGGGGACTTCGTCCGGAAGGATATGGAGAACCTTTCTACGGTACGTATGGCTTACTGTTCTAAGGTTCTTGGTAGATGATGTTTTCGAGTGAAAGTTTCAAATAGAGTCAGTTTCGAGTTTGGTGTCGATTGAAAGTTTGGCTTTTATAATGGAGTGTGAGTTCCGAGTTAGGTGTCGGTATCACTGTGTCTATTTAATTGGTAGATGGAATGGTGTGAATGGTAGGTGGTATGTGGAAGTAAACGTTGGCTTTTGTATGTGGTCCTACAACCTCTGGGAATCTTACCTTTGTTTATGTGTGTACTGACATAGAAACCTGCATTTGTATTTGTGTGTTTGTATATTTGTATTTGTATATCTGTATATGTATGTGTATTTGTAAACAGGAGTACATGTATTTTTTTTGGGTAAAATTGGTAAAATTCATGTGTGGCTTTCAACCTGCAGGGATGAGGCAGGATTTTCTATTCAAATGTACCACAATGGTGAAATAAGATAGGTAACTATTATGTGAATGGGTCTGTGGATTGTTTGATTATTGTGATAAGGATAGAATGTCAATGACTGAGATAGATGCCATGGTCAAGGAGTTAGGGCACGAAGGTTTGATTAACTACTGGTACAGTATTCCAGGTGATAGTTTTGATAGTGGCCTAGTTAAGCTGAGTGAGGATACAGATGTCTCAGACATGCTAGTATTTGTGCCAGACACTAGGGTGATAAATATATTCCTAGAACATGTCTTGGCATGCAGTCAAGAGCAGTTTTACAGTCAAGTGGGTTCAAACGTATTATAAATTGGATGATGAATTTGGGACCAACACGGGGTAGTGATTCAAGAGTTTGATGACAATTCTGGTGCCATTGTTCCAGTGGGTGGGGAAGTATACCAGGTGCAAAAGTGAAAAAAAAAAAAAAAAAACAAGTTGTAATAGAAGTGTTGAAATAAGAGAAGATGTGAATGAGAATCAAGAAGAGGTGAAGAAGAAGAGCAAAAAGTTGAATGAAAAGAATGAAGTTGTTGAATGAAGGATGAATGAATGAATAAATGAAGAATGGGTGGAGATGATTAGTTGAATTGATTGATGAATGCTTCTAAACAAGGCAAAGAAACTGCCACTGGTGAATAATGAGGAGAATTTTGACAAGGGCCAAGAAAAGCCAAGTCAAGGTTGTTCTGATAAAGGCAAAGGCAAGGATAAAGACATGTCACATAAGGTGAAGCATACATTTGGTAAAAAAAGATGCGGCAGTTTGAGGAGGACAAAGACTATTCACCATAAATCAAAGTTGTGGAAGGAAGGGTTGATGGCGTCAGGACCGAGTTTCAAAGGCATTCCATGATGTTGAGAAGTGGAAAAAGATTGGCAAATGCTGCAGACTTTGAAGATGAAGATGATGATGCTTGTGATAGTGAGGACTCAGATTATATGATTCCCAAGAACTTCAATGAAGATGAAGATGAAGATTATGTTTTTTTTATGAATGGGTGGATGACCAAACTGAATGGACAGGGTTAAAGAAACTGGGAATGGATTATGATATTGAATTGGCGTACAGATGTTGAATTGGATTCTGAAGATTCTGAGTGCAGGGATTATGCCAAGTATAATTCTGACGAGGAAGCTGATAAGGATTGGCCAGAGTTCAATGCTGCAACTGACATGGCATATCCAAATTTTGAGATTGGGATGTTGTTTAGTTATTGTAAGGTGTTTAGGGCAGCTGTCAGAGAATACTCCATCTTGCAGAATAGGGATGTAGTGTTTATTAGGAATGAGGCTTTGAAGCTGAAGGCAGTTTATGGGGACCCAGATGGTGGGTGGATGATATATGCTTCAAAAATGCAACATAAGAACACATTGCAAGTGAAGACATATGTAGGTGAGCGCACATGTACACAGCTATGGGAGACCCTACCGTGAAGTCAACATGGATAAGCAAGAAATATTTTGATAGTTTGAAGTCCAATCCCCAGTGGCCAGTCAGGTCATTCAAGCAAGTTGTTGAGAAGGATTATAATACAGGGGTGTCAAGACAATAAGTCTATAGGGCAAAAGATAAGGCACTAAAGCTTATTGAGGGCAATTTCAATGAACAATATTCAAGAATTTGGGATTACTGTGAGGAATTAAGGAAGAGTAACCCAGGAACCACGGCAATGGTTAAGTGTGATTTCCAACAACACAGTTGGGGCAACCAAAGTTTCAAAAGTTGGATGTTTGTTTAGGAGCTGCTAAGGAAGGCTTCAAAGCTGGGTGCAGGCCTATTATAAGTTTAGATAGGTGCTTTTTGAAGAGTGTTTATGCAGGCAACTGTTAACTGTTGTGGGTATAGACGCCAACAATGAAACCTATGTAATTTCTTATGCAGTTGTGGAATCAGAGTGCAAGGAATCTTGGATTTGGTTTCTGGAGCTATTGGTTAAGGATTGTCAGATTGTTAATCAATTTGGCTTCACCTTTATATCCAACAAACAAAAGGTTTACTACCTGCTTTTGAGCAAGTGGTCCCTAATTGTGACCACAGGTTCTGTGCAAGACACTTGTTTTCCAACTATAGGGTGCTTTTCAAAGCAAAAAGCCTCATAGACAAGTTTTGGGAAGCATCGTATGCAACCACTGTCCCCCACTTTAAAGGGCCATGAAAGACCGGAAAAAACTGTCAAATGATGCATATGAATGGCTAACCACTCCAGATAAACCTCCAAGGCATTGGTCCAAGTCACACTTCAACATCATTTAAAGTGTGACATGTTGTTGAATAATCTTTGCAAGTCTTTCAATGCTACCATATTGGAATGTAGGGAATAGACCAATTCTGTCAATGTTTGAGTATATTAGATGTAAGCTGATGAGGAGAATACAAGGAAGAAGTGACAAAATGCTGACATGGAACATGCTTATCTGGCCAAGGATATTTAAGAAGGTGGAGGGAAATAAAGCCAAGGCAGGTGCTTGTAGTAATGTGGTCAGGTGGAGGTAAATTCAAAGTGTCAGCTGGTGGCCATGCACAATATATTGTGGACTTGGAATTGAGAACTTGTTCTATTGCAGGGATGGCCTTGTGTTCATGCTATTGCAGCCATAAATTATAAAGGGTCTTAATGTCATGAATTTTGTGGATGCTAGCTATTTGACAACAACTTACTTGAAGATTTATGAGAATCTCATACTGCCTATGAATGGGATGGATATGTGGGATAAGAGTGACTTTAGGCCATGTCTTCCTCCGTCTTACTCTAAACAGCCTAGAAGGCCAAGAAAATGTAGAAACAAAGAATAAGGAGAGCACAAGGGCAAGATGAAGATGAGAGCATCAAGCAACCAAGCTGAAACTGCATTGTCTCGCATTCCCAACACACAGGACTTTCTCAAATGTGGGCAATGTGGTAAAAATGGGCACAATAAGAGGACTTGCCATAGTAATCTTCCCCCAAAAGCCAAACCTGCAACTAAGAAGAAGAGGGGTACTGAAAATCCCCAGGTATAGCAACTCAATCTTGTTCAATTCTATCCCTTAATAACCCTAAGCTTTTGTTGCTAACTGAAACTGCCATTTTATGTTGTAGACCACTATTGATCCATTTGACGCATCCATTCCAGCTGATGGTCCAAGCACCCTAAAGCAAATATCCAAGCCTCCAAGGCATGTGCAAAAAAGGAAGCCTCTGGTAAGTAACTTCTCTTCATGATGGTTATTATCAATTTTCTTCAATTTACAAATAAAAGGTTAACATCCTAACATTTGCAGCCAAAACCAAGTAAGAAAAGACATGCCACTTCTGAAGCACAACCAGCCTCAACTTCATGTCCTCATGCATCAACTTCTGTTTCAACTGCAGGATCAAATGTTGTAGATTGAAGCTCACTTAAAAAGCTATTTCATGACTCACCTTTTTTTGTTAGACTGGCAGTTTGTGATTAGGAGGTTTTTGTTTTTGATAAATTGGTCATGTATAACTTAAGTGCTGATTTTTTTTTTTTTTTTTTTTTAATGGCATTCACATAAGCCTCAACCACTGTGAATGCACATACATCCACTGAAACTGCCATTTTGGAATGAATTTGAATGGACATGAAATATGTACGATATGCAATGTTATTATCTGGCAATTTTGAGCCCTTTTTGAATGCAAACTTTTCTAAGTTTTTGGGTTGCCACTTACTTCATAATTTGGTCTTTCACTTGATTGTTCCAGGTGCATCCATTAGACTTCCCTGCTATATTGTTTTTGTCATTCCATTCACTTCATCAAGTTACAAAAGTCAGCAATTCAGCCATTAAGCCTTACCCCATAAGCCTTAACCCTAAAAACCCTAAACCCTTACATAACAATTAAACCATTACAAATTGCTACAAACAACCTAACACTTATAGAATCACATAAAATACCCTAAACAACCCACAAACAATACATTCATTCAATGGCAGAAGCTAATTCCAAGCTCCTCTTTTTGTTCACTCCACATCCACACATCCCTCCCAAAATGATGCTTGCAAATAGAACCCACAAAGCCACCAACAACACCCAAACGACCTTTTCTCTTGTCTTGCCTTTGCCACTAACTTCTCCAGCTTATTTCGCGATTTTAGAAGCTAAGGAATCACCACCTTCGACGATTCACACATGGCCGGATCAAACTATGCCCAGAATTGATAGCCCTTAATACCCTTCTTAGTCTCACATGGCCGGATCAAACTATGTCCAAGAGGTTCGAATTGTAGCAGCTTTTTTGCACCAACACATCGGCGCCTCTTCATCCATTTCGGCCAACCAATCAAATCTTCTTCGTCAGTTTCCCTCCACTTTTTTCCTCGCTCCTTTGCTCTCCAAAACACGAACACAACTCAGAAACTAAGTTGTTCGAAGGCGACCATTTGTTTTTTTTTTCCGAAATTGCCCTTCATCTCGTCTCTTTCTAACTGCTGTTTGGTTATTAGGTAGGAGTGTTTGATTCTTTGATCACTCCTATTTACAACAACAAACCTCAACTCCGGCCTCAATGTGCCACCAAGATTTCAACGAATTTAGCCCAGATTGTATTTGGTTGTTTATTATGTAATTCAGGTTCTTTTACCATATATTTCCTCCTTTCTGTTGTGTGTTTCTTGATTTGCCTTCTTAATTTACTCTCATAATTTACGCTTGTTCTAGATAATTGGTTATTAATACAGAAAAAGAAAAGTCTTAGAAATGGGAATTCAAAGAAAAATATTGGACAATAGATACAAGGAGATCGAAAAATCAGAATTGTTAGGCAAAGCACAAAGTGTTTTAAGTACGAATTAGAGGAAGAAAAACAAGAAGTGCGAGGCTGATACTTTTGTTCTCCTTTTGGCTCTATCAATGAAGTAATAGGGGCAAAAGTAGAATTTTAAATTTGGTGAGAAACACATTAAACACTAAAAAAATATTAACTTGTAACACTAGCCAAATACACAAGTCCTCAATTGTTCCAAGCATAATCAAGTTTAACGGTCTCATATCTCATTCCTAGATCACGTATGCTAAATAAAACACTTACCTTATTTCCTGAATTAAGTTTAATGGTCTCATATCACATAATTCGTAATTAGGGTCTACCTTAATTCTTCCCTTCGGATTGATAGCTCAAAATATAATATATATATCTATATATATATATATATATATATATTGTAAGCCTTTTATATCGCATGCGTGCTTAACACGTAATGTTTCGTCTAAGAGAATTACACTCTTTACAATTTATGCTAATAGAACTCAATGATCTCATTGAGTTAAAGAAATCTGTAGAAACTCAAAGCTGTTTGAACATCGAACATGTCGGTACACAACCCGTTTCTATTACATCGATGATAGTTTAATAATGATTCATATAGCTCTTCTAAGAATTTGGAAAACAAATAAGAACCCTTTAACCAAACCTCAAAATCGACTAACTATTACCCAATAAGTTACAAACATGATATCCTAACCCAACATAAGCGGCAATGGAAGAAGTAACATTTATCACAAGTTTTTATTTTCTTCTGTTACTACCGATGTATGATTAGTAGATTACCATGAATGGCACCCTTATGTCTCTTTGCTACTTTCAATAAGACGAGGCAGCCAGACATTAAGCATTTAACCCAAGGGAACACTTTGGGTGAAGAAGGCAACCGAGCTGTAAGAACTTCAACTCCTGTCTCTGTCACCTACACATATGTAGGAAGAAATAACAATGAAATTAGAGATGTATACATAGATGCATTCAGCAGAGACATAATTAACCCGGAATAAACTTGGATAAACATCCCTTCGACACCAATATTCAATAACTATCCCCGTGTTCCTAAGGATCTCGCCTACCAAATTTCAGTGCTGTATTTGTCAATGGGTGGCATTGCAATCCAGTGTTGATAGATTAATTATGGCAGATTCAATTCAAGACAACTACTAAGCTACTTGTTTTGCTGTCCCAATTGAGTCCAACCTGCAAATCTTCCTAATTCATATTATCTATCAAACTTATTTATTTAATGATCATATCCACACCACTTGGAAGTTATAATGCTATGCTACAGCGAATACAAATACTTGAGCTGCCTTAAAACCCAGAACAAGTCTCACATGATAAATTGAAATACGGATCATTCCAAAGAATTTCAATACTATATGCACATAAGAAAAGAATAAAGAAAAAGGTCTTCTAATAATGATGGAGCAGTGACAGTTATATAAGTTGAAAACATATTACGCATGAAACATAAACTGCACAGTTACCAGAAGTGTGTGCTCAAACTGAGCACTGCGCTTGCCATCTGCTGTAACAACAGTCCATCCATCGGGCCACATCCGATCACGCCAAACCCCTACATATTTTATTTTGTTTGTTAATATGTAGCTAGCAAATGAAGAAACCTATCATCCATATGCTCATAAAACAAAATTTCGAAATACCTGCGTTGAGCATGGGTTCAATTGTAAAGTCTGTCCAGCTTTCATTACACCAACAGCTTTATTTCCTGCTTGGTTAAGGCAAAAAACATTACCGGTGCAAGCAAGAAAATGTATGATTCATATATATACAGAAGCTTCCTTATCGAACGTACTTGCATAATGGGGAATATTTGGTGCACAATGAAAAAGCTCCCCAATACCATGACCGCAAACTGATTTCACCTGTTAGTACAATACAAAATTACTATAATCTGTATGCCATATCTTAAAATAAAAAATGCAGCACAATTCCAAGCTCAAAGTTACAAATTACCAGAGAGAATCCCGACATTGTCGCATGGCGATTAATGACTTCACCGACTTCACGAAATCGCATTCCAGGTTTTACTGCACACGACAACAAAAAACAATCAGGAATAATCTTTTCCTTTTATACATTTAATCCGCAAACAATTGAAATTATTATAGTGCACTGTCCAAATCAGGGTTAAATAGGCTGACTTCTTGACATCTCAGTTATCACCACGTGACAACATTCCATGTATCGCTAAAATATTTCACACAATTTACTAGTACAATTAAGCAAAAACATAACCACAAAAATATTTCAAGAATGATTACTTGCAACTTCCATGGAACCAAAGAAAATGTAAAATCAATATTGGATAAAACGATTATTATAACATATACATGAATAAGATAGCTGAGAAAATGTGCAATGATTTTAAGCTGTGTATTCTTGGGCCCATGAAAAATCCAGGAAATAAAACCCTCAAAATGAAAAGTCTAGGAAACAAGTGAAAATTTTACAAAAGCAAAGATCACTCGTCAATTTCTGGCCATTTATTTTAAGAATGACACTCAGTGAATTCTGGTGTTTCAGGTGACTACTTTCAGATTTTATGAATATCAATGTAAACTATTTTCCTCGAACACCTTTCATTACATATGAAAATTTCACATCCTCCCAAAAGGCAAGACTAATTGCTTCCAAACAAAGAGATGTGAAGCAATTGAATTGCAAGATTGTTAACGCAATACTTGGTGACAGATGCACTAAAGAACTATTAAGAAGAAGCTGTATTAAATCGTGTTCTTAATGTTAGTTCCAAATTCTTGTTTAGGGTCCCAAGACAATTTACAAAAACGACACAAGAGGTAGAGCGGTCTCTTAGAATTGTTATATTATATATGGTGCACATACCAATAGATATTGCTTTCTCCAAGCACTCATAAGTAGATTGGACTAGCCGTTGAGACTCGTCATCAACATTTCCCACAAAGTATGTTTCATTTAGATCACCTGCAGTTTAACAGTTGTTCAAGAAAAGAACTTGTTCAAAGTTGAACTACTATTAAATGTGTAAAACACTTATTACCATGGACGCCTTTATAATACACAGTCACATCAACATTGACGATATCACCATCCTCTAATTTCCTGGAGCAAAAGTTTCAATCAGATGCAACATAAAAGAAGTCAAAAATGCTATCCAAGGGATTTTAACAACTATAATCTTTTTCTTTTTTAAAAAAAATAGTAAAACCATTCTGAAGTAGAATTAAAAAGAAGAAAGAAACAAATGCAGGCAAAACAAAATGTTAGTGGTTAACCAAATACTAAAAAGCAGTTTCTCTTTTTTTTTTTTTTTTTTTTTTTTTTTTTTTTTTTTTTTTTTTTTTTTTTTTTTTTTTTTTTTTTTTTTTTTTTTTTTTTTTTTTTTTTTTTTTTTTTTTTTTTTTTTTTTTTTTTTTTTTTTTTTTTTTTTTTTTTTTTTTTTTTTTTTTTTTTTTTTTTTTTTTTTTTTTTTTTTTTTTTTTTTTTTTTTTTTTTTTTTTTTTTTTTTTTTTTTTTTTTTTTTTTTTTTTTTTTTTTTTTTTTTTTTTTTTTTTTTTTTTTTTTTTTTTTTTTTTTTTTTTTTTTTTTTTTTTTTTTTTTTTTTTTTTTTTTTTTTTTTTTTTTTTTTTTTTTTTTTTTTTTTTTTTTTTTTTTTTTTTTTTTTTTTTTTTTTTTTTTTTTTTTTTGGGGGTGCATCGGGTGCACCGGTACAGCCCATCACGTGAGGTCACGTGAGGTTTTTTTAAAAACAGGAGAAACCTTAGCAGCAGGTCACCAAGTTAAACGAATTCACGCGCCTTACTGTGGATGTCATCTTCTTCCCTAAACGCATCTGTTGAAGTTCAAGCTGATTTCTGGTCTTCAAAGTCATCTTGTTCAACTCCTCTTCGTGGTCTTCAAAGTCATCCTCTTCGTGATCTTCCTCCTCTCTGCAACATCTGGTTGAAGTTCAAACTGAGCGTCAACTTTTCCCCTTGCTTTAACCTGTTAACCAACACAGCCGTTTTCCCTTGTTTTAAAAACACCCCCACGACACTCCTTCCCCTTCTTCCGAATACCTCACCTACCCTTCTCTCTAGACTCTAGTTCATTTTCTTTCTGTTTGGCTCAATTCTAACATAGTATCATGACTGATTTATCTTATCACATGCTTAAATCTTGAGAACCCTCTTCTTAGAAATCCCAAATTTATTTGATTTCTTCTATTTCCCCAAATCTGATTCACCCTTGATTCATTAAACCTCAACTATTATTTATTATGGCTTGTACTAAATCTCTAGTTGCTGCCCTTCTACTAAATCCAAATGGAGCAGATGCACACAAAGTTGCAGTCATGAACTGATGAAAACTTCCATCTCCTGCGAAATATGTGAAAAATGGAGAAGCTGGGATGGGTTTGATTGATTTTTGGGTTTAATTGTGTTCGGGTTTGATGGAGCTGTGTTTGATTCTTGATGTCTTGGTTTGATTGATTTTTTATGTTTGTGTTTCTTTTAGACGGGAAGATAGAGAGACAGGGAGGGAGGGAGCTGAGGGAATGGGGGAGGGGGAGAGGTGTCGGGAAGGGAAGGAGGGGATGGGTTAGCTATTTTTAGTGGATGGGCAATTTGCTACATTCAGAGTCATTAATCTATACCGAGTCATTCCATTTTTGCGTCATGGTACGTGCAATTGCATAGTCTTTTTACAATTATCCAATTATTATGAGTAATTACATATAAGTTCACAGTATGTCTTGAAATTTTATATGCAATTATTTACAATAGATATGCAATTGCACAACAATTCTAGGACATGCATTAAGAACTGAAACATCGACAAAGGCGTAGTCTCTTTGAAATTCTTTCCACTATTTGGAAATTGCATAGTTGTCAATACAAATGCTAACGACACAAATTACGTTCAATTACACATTACTCATATCGCAATTGAATTTGTAACTTACTTCCTAAAGTCGAATAAGTATAAGAAATCGTTGTTACACTTCATAACTTAGACCCTAAAGCCTAATAAGCATATAATTTAAATAAATAAATAAACCCCTTAAATATCAACATACCATCCATTGGTATCACTAATAATCCTATCGCTCAAAATAAGTGACCGATTAATTGGTTCTCCATTTTTCTTGGCAAAAAAAATTGGTTCTCTTTTTTAATTGTTACATATACTATATACTCATTAAAATATTATATTTGACTAAAAGAAATTAAATATTATATAATAATGTATAGATACCCATAGAAAAGAATAATTAGACTATCTATATTATATTTAGACCAAAAAAATTAAAATGAATATAACTAATGTAGGGTTTAACATTGCAATTGAGAGCCCATACTGTAAATCTAAGCTATTTCATAGAGGTAAGGCCAAGGATTAAAATATCAGCCATGCAAATAATATTGGGCCTCCAATTTACGGATATTTTGGGGGATATATTGTTATCGTTTTAGGTATCGGGAAGAAAAAAGACAGATATAGGCATTGAAACACATAATTTTGGTATATAAAACTTTCACAAATGTTATGTACATTATCAATAAATGTATTGAACAAATAAAACTCAAAATTTACTAATAATAAGATATACATATGATGAAATATAAGTGGTATGTAATGTGCATTAATGAAAAGTTTGAAAATAAAATGTTGATTACACTAGTAAAAAATAACCCTTGCGAGACCAAATTTTGCGCGATGAAAAATTATTCGTTGCTCAAAGTAACTTTGCGCGACGAAACTCAAAACTTCGTCGCTCAAAACCTTGCGCATGCCATCAAAACAATATATTCACTAACAATTAAGAGTTTATTTATACTTTTGTTAAATATAACTTAAGATTTTGGGGTATCCACCAGTGTAAATATTTTAAATTGACGATCGAATTAGTTCATTGTATTCATATAGGGTCAAGGAGTGTAGCTGTAAAAAAATCATCAAAATCGGAGTTAAAATAACCGTTAAATCGTGATTTTTCATTTATAACCGTCGAAAAGTTTTGTCTCAGTACTTGATTTCTGAATGTTTATTTTTTCCAATTTTTGGCGTATATGATCTCGAAGTATGAACAAACAAGTTTGACGGTTGGATCGTTGAAACTAGTTTTGTTGAATGCTATGCCATCAAAACAATATATTCACTAACAATTAAGAGTTTATTTATACTTTTGTTAAATATAACTTAAGATTTTGTGGTATCCACTAGTGTAAATATTTTAAATTGACGATCGAATTAGTTCATTGTATTCATATAGGGTCAAGGAGTGTAGCTGTAAAAACTTATCCAAATTGGAGTTAATATAACCGTTAAATCGTGATTTTTCATTTATAACCGTCGAAATTTTTTGTCCCGTTACTTGATCTCTGAATGTTTATTTTTTCCGATTTTTGGCGTATATGATCTCGAAGTATAAAAAAATAAGTTTGACGGTTGAATCGTTGAAACTAGTTTTTTTTAATGCGTATGCCATCAAAACAATATATTCACTAACAATTAAGAGTTTATTTATACTTTTGTTAAATATAACATAAGATTTTGTGGTATCCACTAGTGTAAATATTTTAAATTGACAATCGAATTAGTTCATTGTATTCATATAGGGTCAAGGAGTGTAGCTGTAAAAAATTATCAAAATCGGAGTTAAAATAACCGTTAAATCGTGATTTTTCATTTATAACCGTCGAAATTTTTTGTCCCGTTACTTGATCTCTGAATGTTTATTTTTTCCGATTTTTGGCGTATATGGTCTCGAAGTATAAACAAATAAGTTTGACAGTTGGATCGTTGAAACTAGTTTTTTTGAATGCATATGCCATCAAAACAATATATTCACTACCAAGCAAGAGTTTATTTATACTTTTGTTAAATATAACTTAAGATTTTGGGGTATCCACCAGTGTAAATATTTTAAATTGATGATCGAATTAGTTCATTGTATTCATATAGGGTCAAGGAGTATAGCTATAAAAAATCATCAAAATCGGAGTTAAAATAACCGTTAAATCCCTTGGTACAAGGCTTACGTGAAAATTTTGAAGAACAAAATTTTAAATAGTTTTAAAAAAGAAGCATGTGAAAAATATAAGGGGAAAGATCCAATTAAATTAACAAGAGTATATATCACAACCATACACTTTTTCTTTAAAAAATAATAATAATAATTTCTTCGAGTCAAAACAAAACAAAACAACATAAAAAATAAAAAAAATAATGTCTTCTTCTTTCTCGTGAACTCTTATTTTTTCTTACCGAACATACCAACATTTTAAATTTATCAAATGAACACAACATAC